GGCGCCAACCGACAGCCGCGGCTACGCCGTCGACGAGGCTGCCGCCTCGGCGCTCCACCTTCAAGCAGTCTAGCAGCGATGCGGCGCTCGAGCCGAGCTTCTCTCGGAGCCTTCGCCGTAGGCCCGCTACCTCGTGCGGCGAGGCGTCGCTCCGGAGCGGGTGCTGCTAGAGAGCTGGTCCCTCGACACGATCGGCAACGCGGCGTTCGCGCGGCTGATGCACGCCGACTTGGCACAGGCGAGATCTAGCCCGAGAGATCGCCGAGAGGTGAGGTCCTATCTCCGGGCGGGGAGATGGGCGGAGATAGTGCCGAGGTATCGCCGAGGTCCGGCTGATGGGCCCCACCTCGCGCAGTGGCGGCGGATGCTCGTCGTGACCTCGGACTTCCACCTGCCGCGCACGCGAGCCATCTTCGAGTGGGTGCCTCTGCTCCAGCAGTGAACGGCGTCTCTTCACAGCTACGCGCTGTGGGCAGGCGAGCCATCTTTGAGTGGGTCTTCTCGCTGCCCGACCGGGCGGGGCGGCGGCGGTCGCCTCCCGCCGAGCTCGAGTTCGAGGGGGTGCGAGATCACCCGAGACCACACGAGATCACACCCGAGATGCCCGAGAGGCGGAGCACTGCAGTTCGAGGGGGTTCGTCGGCGGGCGGGCGGCGGGCGGCGCCTCTCTCAGAGTGGGCTGCCCGCGTGCACAGGTGCCGGGGCGGGGGCTGGGCGACGAGGACGGCGCGGCGCGCAGGCGGAAGGAGGAGCGCTCGCTCGAGGCGCTGCGGCGGGGCGCGGTGTCGAGCGTGCGCGACCTCGAGGCGCTGCACCGTTTCCTGTTTGTGGAGCACGGCGCATACCGCGCGATGAGCGAGGCGGAGGAGGCGGCGAGGGAGCGGGAGAGAGCAACGGGGGCGTTGGCGAGGACTTACTGACCAGCCTGTTTCGTGTTGGCGGTTACTGGCGCGTTCGCGTTCGGCACTGTCGCGATTTTTGCTTTTTAGTTTGGAAAAATTGCAGTTTACTACGTTTTGAGCTTTTCTCTTGCAGATTTACTATATACGCGTGCGGGTCAAAAATTGCCTTGCAGATTACTACGGGGTGTGGTGTGTGGAGGGTGAGTTGACCAAGGGGTTGTGCGCCGGGCCCTCCTGCTCGGCTCCAGCCGGTAGACAAGTCTTGTCATCAACCCAGAGTAGATGGATCTGACCTCGGGGCCGATGTGACCAAGCGCTGGTGCGTGGTTTTACCTCACACACATGGTCTCACAGTGTGCCGGCAGTCGCCGAGCAGTGTCGCTCACACAAGCCGCAGCACAAGTGACTGAGGGCCAGTGAGGGCGAGCCCATCGCTGTCACAGCTGTGGCAGCCGCACAGTGGGCTGTGTCAACTGTGCAGAGCGTGTGAGCAGCAGAGGAGCTGCTCTCCAGGCTTCTGTCGCAAAGAGCTGCATGCCACCGAAAGCGCTGTCGAGGTTCGCCGAGCGCGGCGCAGGTTGAGGGAAGCCGCCACCGACGAGCGCGTTGTTCTTTTCACTCCGGACAAAAAACGCGGCACAGCGGACGGTGCGGGGCGTGCCGCAAACTTAGCGGCGAGGCGCGGGACCGTCTGTGGCGAAGTGGGTCGCGTCCCTCGATTTCCGTCAACCCAGCATCCACACCCTTTACACACCACACAATCCACCTTGCAGATTACTACACATCACACAATCCACAGCAGATTACTACACATCATACACCTAACACACATCACACAATCCACCATCTCCATCGCCTGGTCTGCGAATGCTTATCAGCCACGAAAGGAGAGCGTGGCCGAGGGCCCGTTGCGTAGACTCAATCACAAGATCCCAGAAGGGCACCTCCGCCTCTGGACAGGGTGGCCCGCCACAAGGACCCCGGGAATTGCGACTCACATGTTCCTTGCACGACTCGCCGCTTTCCACTCAAGGCTCTGCCGGCGGGTCTGTGGCCTGGCGCCTGCCAGACTGCGGGTCCAAATACCCCGGCGCTCGCGCGCGCCACCGCCCCCGGCGCGGGGTGGGATATCAGTTCGTGAGTTCTGTGTCCCCATCCCTGTGCTCCACCTTCTTCTCCCGTGTCAGTTCCCTGAGAACCCCACTATATAGCGCCACCTCGTGAGCTGTCCTGTGAGCTGCGTGCTGTGTGTCCAGCAGTCCGGACCCGGTGCTAAGGCCGGTGACAGTGTGCCTCGTGTCGGCTCCCGAGCCAATCGTGTGCAGCGTGTGTGTGTGTGTGGGCCCGTCCTCCATGCTTGGAGGTGTGTAAGACTGACTGACGAAGGCGCTCTCAATAAATAAATCGGTCACACACTCTGACGAGAGATTATACTGGGTCATGTGTCCCCACCCTCCAATATTGCGGTTGGAATGGTTTTGACGGCGAGAACGGGGATTACGCGCTTTACGGCGGCATCCACCGGGAGATACGTGTACAAGGTATCTTGACCATTTTCACAGACGTTAGGCTCCTCTTCCTGGGTCTCACACCGACACTGGGCACCGGATTCGCAAGAATGTGCGCGGCGCGCAGCGTGCGCCGCCCCCAATCAATGGGAGCAACGAGCTACCCCGCGGGACGATCGAGCTTTACCTTACATGCTCTTAGCCTTGAGCGGGCTATGCGCGCGTGTTGCAACGACGCCATGCTGAATGCAGGCGCCGAGGAGGCACGAGAGCAGCCAGTAGAGCGGCCAGAAGAGCGCGAGGAACTGCACCCAGGCAAGCTTGAGCAGCTCGGCGGTCGAGGGACGGTAGTGGACGTGCGCCGCAGGCACGCGCACCGTAAGCTCCGCCTGGGGCACGAGGAGTGGTCTCGTTTCTGGGTGTTGAAGAAATGGCTGTTCGGAAGAGGGTGCTAAGGCTCTAGTGGGTGGGTTGAGTCGCAGGGGCGTGTGAACGCCTCAAAGGATGTGGCCGCCGTGCCGGGCGTCCACAGCGGCGGATGCGGCGCGAGCCACAAGGTCTCGTTGCAGGCAGCGCGTTGCAATCCGACCGCCTCCGCCACGGTGAGGGCGAGGCCGTCGGCGGAGCGGGCGTGGCCAAGCAGCGGCGTGTCGGCGCACACCTACAGTCCGAGCCGGCGGCTGGGGACCCGGGGCTGGGCTTGCCCTCACCGGCGAGGGTGCGCGCCGTGCGGTGAGGCTCGGTGTGAGCCTCGAGCGGCAGGGACCGCTGCAGCTGCAGCTCGCCTAGAGAGAGCCCGAGGGCGAGCGCGAGTGAGCGGGCAACCAACCTCTCCGCCTCAGGTGCCGCATAGGCGGCGGCTCGCCCGTCTGGCGCCACCTTGCGCCGGGGAGCGGCGACGAGGCCTGCAAGCGGCGGGGACCGGCGGCGTGCGCGGGGGTGGCCGCCGGGGACGGGAGAGGCCAAGAGAGGGCCACGCCTCGGCGAGGACAGCGCCGTGCACAGAAAAGGGCGCGTGCGCGTCGTCGCCATAGTGCGCCACCAGGCCGACGACGACCGACAGCGCGTGCAGCGGCAGCGGGTCGCCTCCGCCCTCCGGCACCAGCGGCACCGACAGCGCAAAGTGCAGCTCCTCTGGCACTCCGTCGCGGTCGGCGTCGTCCGACCAGGCGCGCAGCTCGCAGGGGCGGAGGCGGTGGGCGAGGGCGTCGTTGAGCTCAAAGGAGGTGGACCAGCCAAAGCGGCTCTCCACGCCCGCCCCGTACCCCTCGACCAGCACCTCGTGAGAGAAGCGGACGAGCGGACGCTCGCGCACCGACGCCTCCTTCAGCCAGAGGCCTCCGGCGGCGTAGGCGAGTGGCCAGGGGACAAGGAGGAGGGCGGCGGCGTAGAGCAGCGTGCACAGCGACGCGCACGATGCCGTATTGGCGTGGTAGGTGGTGGCGAGCGGCGTCGAGTAGAGGCGCATGTGTTGTGTGCAGCGGCCGCGAAGGTGAGGACGGGGGGGTGAGGACGGGCGGGCGACGGTTGACGGAAAATGTAACCGCCGTGTAGTGTGGACGCGTCCCTGTCTGGGGGGGGGGGGGGCTACAGCGTCCGCCTTCATAAAATAGATAATCCGCATGGCATTTGTCTCGACGCGCACCCCTTGCCCGGGTTGCGGTTACCCAGGTTACCCGGCCCCTCCCTGCCCTTGGACCGGTGTCTTGTAAAGAAAGAAAGAAAGAAAACAGAAGGAGGCTAATTTCTTTTGTTCGTCATTAAGTCGTGTCCGGGACGCGGGATGCGCAGGTTTTGAGTGCTCGCACGCTTAGCAGTTACGGAAAGGACGGAAGTATCCCTCCCACCCAGCCAGTGCAGCACGTACTCCGACTCCTAACGTGGACACGCCCATAGCTGGGGACACTACACTAGGTCACGCATGGCATCAGAAGTTTTGTCTCTGGGCCCCGAAAGGCATCTCTAGCAGTGTCGTTACACATGCCCCCTCCCCTCCTGGGCGCATGCGCCTCACGTCTCGCCAGAGCATAAGCCCTTGGCGTGTGGCGAGACGAGTTTTTCGCCATCGCCGCGAGCAGCAAGCCGCCCGCCGCAAACAGCCGGAGGCCTCGCCGCGGCACTGGCTGCGCCGCGGTCCCGCACCCGTCGACGCAGCTCCCCCCGCGGAAGACCGCGCGTAGCGACGCCTTGACGATCGAGATGAGCGTCACACACACACACACACACTGGGCAGGGTTCACCCACACGACAGGGCTAACCCAGGAATTCCCCTCTCGTATATAGGACAGGTTGCACCCGGCGGCACGGGGGCAGGCGCGGGCCTCCTACTGGTTGCGCTCTCCTAGTTCTCCTGCTCCTGACAAGGGACAGCGACAGGTTCGCAGCACGGTGGATTCCCTACTCCAATGGCCGTCCTACTACTATGCTGTTTTCACACCGATCATAATACGCGATCGCGCAGCCTTCCAGCGCTTTTTCTTCTGATTTTTCAGTGCGCGCCATAACAAAATAAATAGCAGTCACCTCCAGTAGAGATGGGCTACGCACGAACACAGTGCGCGCCGAACGTTTTATTTTTTTTGCTCGAGGCATGAGTGACTCGCAGGGGCCTGACTCGCCGCCGCCGCCGGGCGCGCTCGTGCTCATGTGCGGCCTGCCTGCGGCTGGCAAGTCGACACTGTCGGCAGCGCTTCTGCGGGACGGCGCCAAGGAGCTGCTGCCGCGGCTTGCGCCCTTCGGCGTCTCGGCGGTGCGGGTGTTCTGGCTGAGCTTCGACGACGTGCTCGGCAACCTGGCGGCGGCCTGCGGTCACACGGGCTACAGCCCGGAGCTGTGGCACCAGGCGCGCGATAGCGTCCTGCGCTCGGTGCGGCACCACTTTGGCGTTGCGTGCGGCGACGGGCCGCCGCCGGCTCCCCTCGCGCAGCTCGGTGAGAGCGGCGGCGGCTCGGGCAGCAGCGGCGGTGCACCCGCCAGCGGCGGCGACAGCTTCGACGTCGTTCTGCTCGACGACAACATGCACTACCGCTCGATGCGGCGCGTGTATCACCGCCTCGCCAGGGACGGCCGGCTCGGCTGCTGCACTCTCTGCCTGCCTCTGCCTCTTGCAGAGGCGCTGCGGCGGAACGCGGCGAGGCAAGAGTCCGCCCGGGTCGCGGATGCGACGGTGAGCCACATGGCCGAGGTGCTGCAGTGGCCCGACCCGGCGAGGCACCCGTGGGAGTGCAGCACCATCTCCCTCCCCTCGGCCTCCTCCTCCGGCGCAGGTGCCCTTGCCGCCTCGCTGGCAGGCGCGGCTGTGGAGAGGAGCGTCTTCACCGCGCGAGAGTCGTGGGTAGGCGCGGAGCCCTTCCCGTGGGACCGGCTCGCGCCTCTCCTCGCCGCCGCCGTCCCAGCCGGCCCGCCGCCCTGCCCTCGAGGAGGCGCCACCCGGCCGCAGGACTCGTCCAAGACGCGTCCCCGACACGTCCCGCAGGCCCGCCAAACGGCGAGGAGGCCGAGGAGGCCCGCGCAGAGGCGGCGGCCGCGACCGCCGCGAGCGCGGCGCACGCGCTCGACCTACGCTTGCGCGCCGCCGTGTCGCTGCACCTGCAGTCCGAGGACACGCGCCGGCGCCCTGCGGCGGAGCGGGCGGCGCTAGCGCGGGCGATGAGCTGCCGGAAGAAGGAGCTGCTGGAGAGGGCGAAGGCGGAGGCGGACCAGGGAGGAGGGGGGACGCCGGAGGCGCGCGAGGCCGTGGCGGACGCCCTCGACGCAGAGTTCACGGCCATCTTCCGGACGGGGGGCGCGGGCCGACATCCGCCGGCCGCGGTAACGAGAACATGAGAGCGTGGCGATCAGTGGCGTGCGGTGTTGGACTTTAATCTTTTGGGTCGGCTACGGCGGCTCTACACGTAGAGGTGACGATCGTGCCGTGGAGAGCGCGGGGGAGCCGGAGCGTACCGTGTAGTGGTACACACCGTAAATTCTCTAGAAATAGCGCGCGAGAGCGGCGCCGACATGCGCGCGACCCAACTCCAGAGAATTCTGCGGTCGCTAAGAACCCGACATATCGCCTCGCACAACACACCAGAAAGCAGCGGGGCAGAGGCCAGAGCCAGAGAGATTGAGAGAGATATACAGTGGGTTGCGGGCATTAAGAAAACAGGATGCCGCGGCACGCCGCCGTTTCTAAGCCTTTCCACAGCCGTCATCCACCCCGCGCCGTGGTTTCTTAGCTCCGGCCGGCACTCAAGCCAGCAGAGCCGGCGGGCCCGAAGGATTTTTAGGTAAGTAAGAGGTAAGCTGTAAGCTGCCGGTCCGCGAGGGCGATCGGATGCCAGAGTCTGCCGCTGAGTCGGCTCTCTGGATGACGGGGGAAGACGCACACACGCCTCCATCCACTCCACTCAGAACACCGCAGACTTGGAAAGTGACAAGTGCGCGCGCCGCAGGCGAAGAGAAATTTTTGAGCTGGGGCTCCCGTTCACACACAGTGAATCACACACTCGTTTCTGGCCTTTTCGTCTCGGGGCCGCGTCGCTGCGGCGCGCCGTGGTTTCTTAGATTTTTGCGGAAATCGCTCGGCGTGGTTTCTTAATACTACGTTTTCTTAATGCCCGCAACCCACTGTAGGAGAGTGGCAGGGGCAGGGCCGAGTGGGGTATTGGTAGCACGCCCGGGGGTCGACGCGCCCTGGCGCGTCGTCTCGCACACTAGGGAATAGCGCTCGTCACTCTCCCTCGCTCTCCCTCGCTTCCTCATCGCTGTTAAAGACGAGCCCTCCCCGGCACTAAAGAGAATTTTGCGGTGCCGGGCTAAAGCCGTAGGATCCCTACTCTGTCGATACAAAACGGTATGGCGGTGGAGTGCTCTCTACTGCCGCGGCTGTCGGTTCGGAGGCGCCCGGCGGCCGCGCGCTTGGTGCCGACGTCGACCGGCTGCTCTCGCGGCGCCGAGACGTGCCGCTTTGGTCACGTCTCGCGCGCTGCGAGGTGTCTTTTGGCATGTGAGCGCTTGCCAAAGACGCCAGCAAGCTCGCCTTCCTTGCCTGCGGTGGTCCTCGTCACACGAGCTTACAGCTCAGGTTCCTCCACTTGTCCTTGAGGTGGACCTGGCGGCGGCGCGGGGGGGGGGGGGGGGGGGCTGGCTCGCGTGTGGCGTGTGGGGCGTGTGGGCGGGGAGGGGAGGGGCCCCCCTTTTTCCCGGGGCGATTGAACTTGAACTCCTTCAGGATGTCGAGCCAGGGACCCTCCCCGGATTTTGGGACGCCCCTCTTGAGCTGCTCCACCTCCGCCGGCGTCCACCGGAGCCGCCCGCACTTGGACAGCTGCGGCAGCTTGCCGCCGCCGCCGCCGCCGCTCACCTTGCGCTTCGTCCCGCCTCCGCCTCCGCCGCCTCCGCCTAATCTGCCTCCGCCGCCTACCCCAGCGACGCCGGGGCGCCGCGCAGCTGTCGGCCCGGGGGGGCTCGCTCCGCACTGTGCGCAGCCCGAGCAGGCCAAGCCCTGGCAAGCCGTGTTGGCGTCGGGCAGCGTCGAGGGCGGCACCTCGCTGCTGCGCCTGAGCTGCTGCCGGGATTCGTGGTCGCGGGCGGCGACGGCGGCGCGCGCGCGCCGCTGATCTGCGAGGATGCTGCTCAGCAGGGAAGGGGCGCACGAGGAAGGAGCGGGAGCCCCGTGAAAGATGGAGAACGTCCGCGGCGGCGCCTGCGGGACGCGGCCGCTCGAGCCTATCTGCCGGGGAGGACCCTCGACCACCACCTACGCGCGCGTCGTGCAGAAGGCTTGATGAGGTGTCCGCGCGCCTCTCTCGGCGGCGGCGGCGGCTGTGTCGCCCGGTGGCGCGTGCGCAGCAGCCGCGCCGCCTTCTCCACCGCCGCGCGCGGGCCGCGCACGAGAAGGGTGCGGTACTCCCCAGCCGAGGCTGGGGAGAGGGAGATGCTCGCAGACCGCGCCTCTGCCCGCAGTGCATTGAGCTTGCTCCCGCCTGGTCCCACCAACTCTCCGGCCTGCGCAGCAAGGGGCCGGGGAGGGTTGAGCCGAGCGCCTCCAGCGCCCTCACAACCGCTCAGCGCACGCACCTCTGCATGGCCGAGCTCTGCGCGAAAGGTCACCTCTGCTTCGGCCTCCACCTCCACCTCCACCGACCCTCCCGCCTCCGCCTCTCCTGCCTCCGCCCCGACTGCCGCCGCCACCGCCGCCGCGCGCCTCCGCTCCGCCATGTCCTGTGCCCTCCTCTCCCAGTACTGACTCGTCGCCTCAGCCTGTGTGGCTCGGGCGTCCTCGGGCCTCCGGCTCCGAGCCTGTGTGGTGTCCTCGGGCCTCCGGCTCCGTTGCCTGTGTTTCGCGTTGTTGCCATTGCCGCCGCCGCCGCCGCCGCCTCCGTCAGAGTTTGCCGCATGTTCTCTGTGCACTGCGCTGCACTCCTCGCTGTCGACGCACAACTGCAGAGCAACGCGGTTCGCGGCCATCAACACGGGGGAGGGGGGAAGGCTGAGGTCTCGCGGGTGGATATTTTTTATTCTGCGGGTGCGAGGTTTGCTGTGAGCGATTCTAAAATCAGGTCTGGCACTGGGCGAACATCGGCCGTCCCTCAGTGCTTCCAGCCTGCCCGCTTGAGTTTCCTCAATTGGCTCGAATTTTGCTTTGTAGAAAAAAGAATAGCCGCGGTCGCGGGCCGCCGGGCGGGCATTTCGAAGCACCGAGCGGGCAGCTCGAAGCACGCGGGCGCAGGCTGCCACCGCTGCCCGGGCGCCCCGAGCGGCGGCGGAGGGCCGCCCAGGCCACCACCAGTGCCCCTCCCACCGGCGGCGCGGCGGCAGCGGCGCCGACCGCCCCTCCATCAGCGGTGGCGCGACGGCTGTCGTCGGGGCGCCGGCAGGTGCCGCGCGCAGAGGGTGCCACCGGACCGGCCGACGCGCGCCCGGCGGAGCCTTCGACGTCCACGGCGGGCCGAGCACCCCCGCGTCGCTTCTCGGCGCATTGGAGAGCAGAGGAAGCTGCTGGCGTCGCCGCTGGGATCGGCGGCGGCGCCAGCAGCGTTCTCGGATCTGAAGCCGACTTTGAGCGCCGATCGATCGATCTGAGGGCTGGCCGATGGGTGGCGCTGGGACATCGCCGCCGCCGCGGAGGCCGGCGGCGACCAGAGCAGCGGTTGGGGCGCGTGGCGCATATGTTACCTGCCAAGTGAGCATTCAAGTGTGTTTCGAGATTTATTCGAGATTTGAAACTCAGATGTTCGTTTCCAGTGGGGAGGTGCCAGACCTGATCTTAGAATCGCTCCTGTAACGCGATCCACTTGCGAGGAATGCGTCCATGCAGCGGAGTGGAGAGCTCTGCCGAGGCGCACGCCCGCTTCAGCACGCCTCCTCGTCGCTCATCGGCGTGTTGGGCGACGGCAACGCGTTGGCCGCCGCGCCGTGAATGCCGCGGTCGGTGAGGACCGCGGGTGGCGTGGCGACAGCGAAGCGCTGCAGCGCCTCGGCCCACGCGTCGAGCTCGACGGCCGTGTCGGCGCCGAGGCGCCACGTGTTGACGGGCGCGTGCAACGGCCCCTCGGCGAGCGCGTTCCGGTAGGCCTGCTTGCCCCACGACTGCACCCTCTCGACTAGGTTCATGCTTGCCTGTGGGGCACCGCCATGGACACCTCACGGACGCGTCGCGGAGGCTGCGCCTGCGACGAGCTCGCGCCTCTGCCGCCAGCGGCTTGGCTGCGCCCCGGCCCGTTAGCCACGACAGCCGGCGGGCCGGCGTCGTCAGCCGAATCACGTCCCGCCCGTCCGCCTCGCGCTCGCGGGAGAGCGAAGCTCCGTCCAGCGGGATGATGCCTATGACGGGCTCATCGCACGGGTCACGGTCTTGCCGCACGCCGCTCCCTCCAGCGGGATTGATGAGCGCCCTTGAGCGCCGCCTTAGAGAGGTCGTCGTAATAGACAAGGCAGGTGCCGACTGGCGCGAGGCCGGTGGCGGCGACGCTCACGAGCTCAAAATGGCGCCGCTTGTAGTTGCGGCTGCCGAGGGGCCCACGTGAGGCGCCCTGCTTGAGGAGGGAGCCAGCCATCACCAGCTCCTCCCCGACAGCCTCTGCGACGCTCGGTCGCGCAACAAAGCTCGACCGGCCGCTCTCGCGGCCGCTGCTGCGGCCGCTCCGCTCGAAGCCGTCCCCTCCAAGCGCCTCGTCGAGCGAGGAGCCGCGGTACGGCACGACACCACCGGGCGCAGCCACCGCGGCGCCCTCCCAAGGTGGGTTCGACTGCGGGTACCCCGTAGAAGGCTAGGTCGGGGTCTAGTTTCCCTCGCTCCTTCCGCCGCGCATTCCGTCGGTGTCGCTTCCACGCCCACACCCTTCTCTTTTTTGCGCGGATCGGGAGGGCGGCAACCTCTGCCCCCGTCCACGCTTCGCGCCCCCTCGGCGCTGGGCGCCGCCTCGCGCGTTTTCTTTTTCGGGCGCGCTGCCTGGCTTTTTTGCTCCTTCTCTCTCTGCGGGGGGGGTCCTCCGGTTTTGCGCGACCGGGGCTGTTAGGCGCCTCTGGCTCTGCGGCTGGTGCTGCTCCTGTCACTATGTCACCGTGTCGTGGGGCCGACGTGCGCGGTGGCCTTCCTCGGCCCTTCCTCACGTGACGCACGGCGAGGGCGGCACTCGCCACGGCTGCGAGCGCCCACCCTATCCACCACCTCACTCCGCACAGCGGCGCCAGTAATGGCAGCAAACAATTAAATAAAAGCCACTGTATATGAGCTGCTGCCTCACTGCTGCGAGTTGGCATTTCCGGCGGTGCGCGCGTGCGCGTGTTCCGTTCGTGCATCGGCTGGCTCCGAGTTCGAGACCCCGGGGGGGAGGGGGGGGCCTCCTCGGCCTCCTCGGCCTCCTCGGCCTCCTCGGCCTCCTCGGCAGCCTCGGCCTCCTCGGCCTCCTCGGCAGCCTCGGCTGCTTGGCGCACGCGGCGAACGGGCCGCGCCGCGCTGCTCTTTTGTTCGCTGCCTCCGTTGTCGGCCCGGCCGCTCCGTCTCCTCGCTCTGGCTCGGGCCGTGGGCGTGCTGCTGCTGCTGCTCGGCACTGTTGTCGCCATTTTCAATGTGCGCACATTGTATGGCTGCTCGGTTCGTTGCTCCCGGGGATCAGCGACCGGTGGTGAACCACCGGTGCGATACGACCCGCAGCCTACTCCTACTACCGCGCGCGCGCGCGCGCAGGCCGCCGTGGGCACGGGTGGGGCGAGCGCGCGCACCATGATCTCGAGACGTGCCCGCCTCGAATCGAGGCACGTTGGTCTGCGATGTGAGTGCAATTTCTTGCAGCCTCTGCCGCCTCGCGGCCAGTCGAGGCGATGTTCGTGGGCTACGTGCTTCGCGACGGCGAGGGCAACTTCGCCGACTGTGCCTTTCGCCTAACCCAGGTCGTCGCCGTCGCGCCGAAAACCGGCGATTTCGTCGTGCGCCTCTACGTGCGAAGCGGCGGCAGCGGGAACCCCGCGCTCCTCTGCAGCCTGACGCGTGCACGGCCACAAGCCAAGCTCGACCTGATCGTGCCGAGCGACGCCTGCGTCGCGTGCGAAATGAGCGGCGCCGCCCGCGGTGGCGTTGAGGCGCGCGGCGGCCCCAGCCCACCGACCGGAGAGAGCCGCCGCCGCCTGCATCGACAGACCTGCTCTCATCCGGCTGATCCGTCGGTAGGTGCACCTCGTCGGCTACCGGCGGCGCAGCCGCGCGGCAGCGGCGTGCAGCCGGCCAGCCGCTGCCGTCCGCGACGCGCTTGCGGCGCCGGCGGCGGCAGAGGGCACGCCTCGAGGGAGCCCTGTGTGTGTGAGAGCTTTGCGTGCGCTTTAACGACAGGCGCTCGACGAGTGGGAGGAGGCCGAGGCGGGCTCGGACGAGTCGGACGGCTCGGAGGAGGGAGGGGAGGAGGAGGCGGAGGAGGAGGAGAGCGACGCGCGCGAGGAGAGCGGGAGCGGGGAGGAGGAGGCGGAGGAGGAGGCGGCGGCGGAGGCGGAGGCGGAGGAGGCGGAGGAGGAGAGCGAGGAGGACGATGAGAGCTACGAGGAGGGCGAGGAGGAGAGCGGGGAGGAGGAGAGTGAGGAGGAGGGCGAGGAGGAGGATGGGAGTGAGGCGGGGAGCGGGGAGGAGGATGAGGCGGATAAGGAGGCGAGGCTGCAGCCTGCTGCTGTCTTCACAGCTCACAGCGGAGTTGCTGTGAACAGGCGGATGAGGAGGCGAGGCTGCAGCAGCTGCTCGCACTCGCGCGGGAGGGGGGGCTGCAGGGAGGGCTCGAGTCGCTCGGTGCGTCCGCTGCAGTGCTTGCGGCGGAGGGCGTGGAGAGAGAGACGCGCCACGACGCTGACACGACACGGCGCCCCGCCCCGCGCAGGCGACCTGCCGTGGGGCTTCTCGCTGTACGGGGAGGAGGAGGAGGAGGAGGAGGAGGAGGAGGAGGAGGAGTGGGAGGGCGGGGAGAGCCCGTTCGCACGCCGCGCCGCCGAGCTCAACCGGGAGAGAGAGGTGGCTGAATGATCTCGGCCTGTAGCCGAGATGCAGCCGAGATGCAGCCGAGGTGCAGCCGAGATGCAGCCGAGATCTAGCCGAGCTCAACCGCAAGGCGTAGAAGCGCCGGCCGTCGGTCGAGGGGGAGGCATGTCCACGACACGTCCACGGCACGTCCCTCCACATGTCCCGTCAGGCAAAGAAGCGCCGGCTGTCGGTCGAGTCGGGAGGCAGCACGCCCGGCTCTGCTCGCACGCCGCGCCTCACCTTCAACGAGCAGGCGAGGGGCGGGAGATCTCGGGGCGGGAGATCGGAGCGAGATCGGCCGAGATCGGCCGAGAGTACTCCGCGCGCCGCTTCGATGTGGCCACGCCATGCCCGGGCCGCCTCAGCTTGCGGGACCGACCCTCCAGCCTGCCTCCGGCATCCGCCTGCGGCGGATGTGCCCGAGGAGCTGAGTAGTGCTGAGTAGTGTTGATCCGCCTCCTTCGCCAGGTGACGGTGGCGGAGTACGTGCCACGGAGGGTCGGCATCTCGCCCGCCCGCGGCACCGTGCCGCTCACTGCGATGGAGCGGCGGGCCGCGGGCAGGAGTTGCGGCAAGGAGGGCCCGCTCTACCCGATCGTCACTCCCTCGGGCGAAGAGGCGCGCCGACATCAGCGCGAGACTAACCCTAACCCTAACCCTAACCCTAACCCTAACCCTAACCCTAACCCTAACCCTAACCCTAACCCTAAGAGGCGAGCCGACATCAGCGCGAGATCACAGCCGAGATCGCACCCGCAGCACTCTCTGCCCCCCCCCCCCCCCCCTTCAAAGGAGCCGGCCCAGCCTCTGCCGCTCAAGTCGCCCACGCGCGGTGTCGCGCGCGCCGTGCCCGCGCACTCTCCCAAGGCGGCGGGTGGGGCGCGGAAGAACGGCGCGGCGGGCGGCGGCGGAGGGGCGGCTGCAGAGGCCCTCTCCGTGAGCGAGCGGCAGCGAAGGATGGGCAAGCTGATCGAGGCCGTGGCGACGGGCTACAACGGCGTCGCTGCGGGCGAGGGGGGCGGAAGCGGCGGCGACGACGACGGCGGCGGCGGCGGCGAGGGCGACGGCGACAGCGGTAGCGGCGGCAACGGCACCGCCAACGGCAACGGCTCCTCCAACTGCATCGGCTCCTTCGACAGGGGAGGCGAGCGCAGCCTTGCGGCGCTGCTCGACGCGCTCGTCGCGATTCGTTGCGCGGCGCTGCGCGGCGCCACCGCCGAGGCTGCCGCCGCGCTTGACGAGTTCAAGGCGACGTGCGGCGTGGGCGCCTCCGCTGCCGCCGCCGCCGCCGCGCCGGCAGGGCCGCTGCTGGCTGCTCGCCAGCTGCTTCCCGACGCTGTGCAGGCTGTCTCTTCGATCGGCCAGGCGCCCCCCGTCCCGGACCAAGAGGAGAGGAGAGGAGAGAGGAGGGGAGGAAGAGGAGACGAGAGGAGAGGCGAGGAGCGGAGGGGAGAGGAGAGGAAGAGGGGAGAGGAGAGGAGGAAGAGGCGAGGAGAGGAGCTCGTCGCTCGGCAAGGCGCCTCGCCCGGACCTCACCACCACACCACCACAGGCTCGTGGACGTGCCCTGGACGTGTCCCGTGATGACACGTCCACGACTTGTCGGCCAGGCGCTCGCCCCGGACCTCGCCGCCGACAGCGCGCTCAGTGGGCGGGCGAAGCTGACGGCGGTGCTGGCGGTGGACGACTTTTGCTTTGGCGCGCTGTACACTTCCTCGACACTTCCTAGACACTTCCCAGACATGCCCCGCCTAGGTCGACGACTTTTACTTTGGCGCGCTGTACGCTGAGCTCACCCGCGACGGAAGCGGCGCCAGTGAGCCGGCCGCGCGCCTCGGCGGCTGCGTCGGGCCCCCTCCCCCCCCGAACTGCTTCAGGAGATGCCGTGGACACGTCCCGGACGCTGCCATGCCCCGCCTAGGCTGCTCGACCCCGCCTCCTTCTTCGCAGCCTCGCACCCGGCCGGCTTCGTGCGCGCCGCCACCGAGGGAGCCGTCTCCGCCTCCCGCGCCTCCTCCTCCCGCGCCGCAGCTGCCGACGGTGGCGGCGCCTCTCCCTCCGACGCGCCACTTGCGCGCCACGCCCCGGTGAGGGGTGAGGGGTGGCATCGAGTGTCGGCGTAGGCACCTTCAGCAACGCAGAGGCGTGGGCCGCGGGGGGCGGGTGGACGGGACGCGCGGTGGCGGCCCACGTCGCATTGCTCGCTGCCTCGCTCTCTTCGGCCGCAAAGCCTGCGGCGCCCAACCCGCTCTACGAGCTCTGGAGGCTGCGCTGGGCAGAGGCGGCGACGCTGCTGCACGGCGGCGGCCTCGCCTCCGCGGCACAGTATGCAAAGGCCAGGCCGGCCGGCCGCGCGGCGAGGGACAAGGAGCCGCCCGCGCCGCCGCTCGTGCGGCGCTGGAGGAGGGGGGAGCGAGAGTGGCCCTGCTGGTGCCCTCTGCCGCCGCAGCCGCGCTTCGTGGCGGCAGGGGCGGCTCAGCCGCGCCGCACGCCCCGCTGTAGGTTGCTCGCGTTTGCAGTGCCGTCGGCGGAGGCGCTGGCCGCGGTGAGTGAGCTCGGGCTGCCTGTCGTGGAGATGGGGGGCGGGGTGGGCTACTGGGCCGCGCTGCTCCGCCGGCGCGGCGGAGCGGTGAAGTCGCTGGTCTGTGGTCGGCGCCTCTTCACAGCTCTCGCCGTGAACAGGCGAGGCGTGGCTGTCGAGTGTTTCGACAGCGCGCCGACGGAGGCGGGCGGCAAGGGCGGCAAGGGCGGCGAGAGCGGCAACACGTTCCATGGCGAGAGCGCCCGCCGTTTGGTGCGCCCCTTGAGACGAGCGTTTCTTCACCCCTCCGCCCGCCCGCCTCCAGGCGAGTGCCCGCCGTGGGGTCCGGTGCAGCGCGGCTCGAGCGCTCTGTTGGCGAGCCGACGTTTCCGGCGCCTCGCCCGCTGCCACCCGCCCACGACACGCCCACGACACGTCCACTGACACGTCCACTGACATGCCCACGACACGCCCATTGTCACGCCACACGTCACGTCCACGACACGACACGCCCACGACACGTCCACTGACACGTCCACGACACTCGTCCACGACACGTCCACGACACGCCCACGGCACGCCCACGGCACGCCCACGGCACGTCCACGACACGCCCACGACACGCCCACGACACGCCCACTGTCACGCCACACGTCCACTGACACGCCCACGACACTCGTCCACGACACGCCCACGAGACACTCGTCCACGACACGTCCACGACACGCCACACGACACTCGTCCACGGCACGTCCACCGCACGCCCACGACGCGTCCCGCAGGCGGCACGCCCTGCTGCTGTGCTACCCTCCTCCTCGGGCGCCGATGGCGGCAGAGTGCCTCGCCGCTTTCTGCGGCGACACGGTGGTGCACGTGGGCGAGTGGTTGGGCGACACGGGCAGCCCCCCGCTAGGAGGAGTCGCCGCGCTCTTTCAGCGACACGCCCACACCCCGCTGCGGCGCTGCTGTAGGCAGCGCGGCCTTCGAGGCTGCGCTCGCCGAGGGGTGGGAGCTGACCCGGCGCCACGCCCCTCCACGCCCCTCCCCCTGCTGGGACACGTCCTTGGACACGTCCGGATCTTGGACACGTCCAGACGACGCCTCCCCTTTGCGCCCAATAGGAGGCTCCCCCTCCCCTGCTGGGGCGACACGGCCGAGGCAGCACACTGCCGCTTCACCCCTGCCCTCGCCAAGCGAGAGCTTGTGTCACCGCCGCGGCGTGGAGATAGGACCTCACCATCTGGCGGCGGCGCGGCGGCGGCGTGCCGCGGGGCGGCGGCGCCGCGGCTGACCACCCTGTCCTTCGCTGCGACAGCTGCGGCAAGGCGGGCTCGCTGCAGCCCGCCACAGTGCGAGACAAGCCGGGGCTTCTCCGCCGCTGCCGCTACTGCCGCCTCGCCTGCTACTGCTCCGCCGCTTGCGCGCGGCGGGGCGACGCCGAGCACAAGAAGTGCCATGCGGTCCGGATGATCGGCGCGCCGCCGCCCGCCGACTTTGGCGGCCCAGAGTACCACACTTGCTGCGTCTGAGCTGCGCGAGTGGCAGTCCGCAGCACAGTGCGCTCTGGCCTGGCCTCGGGCGGCAGGCGGCTGGGGGGGGTGAGGACGCTCTCGTATCTGGCTCTTCCAGGCGGCACAGCACCGGCGCCGCGACACGTGCATGTGCATGAATCGAAACCGACTCGATGTCTCTCTCTCGTCAGACTGTCTCGCGGCCGCGGGGCGTGCGGGGGGACGTGTTCACCTGTTCCGCACGCCTTGCGACGGGGGCGGTCTTGGGGCGCATGTCAGGCGTGCATGTCCCATCGGTGTCCGGGCGGGGGGCGGTGACGGGACACACCGCGCCGGCTGTGAACTGTGGTGGTCTGACGTCTGTGGACCCCGCTCGCCGCTGAGGCGCTGTCGCCGTGTGGGCTGTGGCCGCGCGCTCACTCGCACGCGCCGCCAGTGAGCGGCTCTACCTACGACTCTCATTCAAGGTCTCATGCTTTATCGTGTTTTTGGTTTTGGCAAGACCCGAACACGCGGCGGCGACGCCACAATGACGTGTGACCCGGGAAGCAAGTAGAGGAGAGGAGAAGTCGGATCGGCGAGCGCACCCTCTCTCCAGGCAGCGCCGCGGGACCCCACACACACACGCCCCCGCCAGCCCTTGCCCAAAAGCCCCCTCCTTGGCTCCGCGGCCCAAATGTCGAGAGCAGCGCAGCCTCCTCGCCCGGTGTCCAGCCCTCCCCCGCAGGCGCCGCTCTAGCGCAGCCTCCTCGCCTCGCGCTCCCACTCGAGCAGCATGAGGATGTCGCCTGAAGTGGTGAATGTGGGGGGTGGAGGATAGGAGGTGCGTGCGGCGGCAGTGTGGGGAGGGGGGGGGGAGTAGATGGGCAAGGGTGGTGGCGCAGAGGGGGAGGAGAGGGGGCGGCGGTGGGAGGTTGGCCGGAGGGGAGGGGGCGAGGCGCGGTTGGAGCCAGGGAGGGGGAAGAGCGTGGCGGCGCTGCCGGCCGGCCGTCGCGTGGGGGAGGGAGGAGTGTCGCGCACCCTCGCGGATCGGCCCCTTGACGTTGCGGACAATCGAGCGCGAGGGGTCGTCGAGGAACTCGACGCGGACCTGCGAGACCTGGCCAGTCTGGCCGGTGCGACCAAGCACCTTGGTCACCTTGGCGAGCTTCACCGGCTGATCCTGCAGCGGCGGCGGCGGTGGCGGCGTCGGCCGCAGCGTCGAGGCAAGCGGCGAGGGGATTGATGGGGAGGGGCGGATGGGCCGGCAGCGTGGAGAGGGCGAGCAGGGCGCCGCCCCCGGCGCGGCAGGCGCGAGGGCGTAACGGAGGAGAGAGCAGTGGCGCGGCGGGCAAAACGACGCGAGGCGAGCTGGCACCATGGCACGCGTTGCTCAGAAAAAATAAACCTTGCGTCATAAAGAAAAAGGCAGGGTCAAAACGGGAGGAAAACGGGAGGAAAGCGGCGGTCCTTGTGGTGGGCCACCCTGTTAGGGAGTCATGGATGCCAATCTGCAACGTAAAAATTCTTTCTGTGGCGGCGCCTGGGGGCTGTTGTACAATCCAGCTCCTCGTGGGCGTTTGCTCGGCTTCTGCTCGCACCGGCTCACTCACAGGCGATCGATGGCTCCCGTCTTCGAGTCGGCGCCAAACGACCCGACCGCTCCCGAGCTGGGCATCCTCGGCACCCGCGAGCAGATCCTCGCTGTGTGCCTCTTGCAGGAGCGGCTTGCGAGCTGGCGCGCCCGGCGGCGGCAGGCAGAGGCGCAGCGGGCAGAGGCGGAGCGAGCGGAGGCGCTCTGCGGCGCCTCAGCCAAGGTGGTGCAGGCGGCGGCGCGCGGGCGCAGCGCTCGCGTTGCGCTGCCGCAGCGGCGGGAGTCGGCGGCGGCCGACAACAAGATGGACCTGAGGCAGGCGGGAGTCGAGGCGGAGGTGGTGCAGCAGCAGGGCGGCGCGGCGGCGGTGATCCAGCGCGCCAGCCGAGTGCGAGCGCGCGCGACCGCCGGTGCGGCGGTGCTGCTGCAGGCGAGCGTGCGTGGCAGCGCCGCACGACGGCGCAGCGAGCGCGGCGAGGAGGAGGAGGCGGAGCAGGCGGGGGAGGCGGAGAAGGCGGCGGAGGCGGCGCCGAAGGAGGAAGCGGAGGCGGTTGCGGCGGGCGGGACGGTGCCGGCGGCGGCGGCAGCGGCGGGGTTGGCAGAGGTGGCTGCCCGAGAGTGGGAGAGCAGCGAGGGGAGCGACGAGGGGAGGGAGGCGAGAGGGGCGTGCGGAGGCGGCGCGGCGGGCGCGGATCCGGACGGCGGCGGGTCGGCGGCGGCGGCGGCGGCGGCGGCGGCGGCAGAGGCGGCGGAGGAGCGAGAGAGTTTTGTGATGCGGTGCTTTTGAGACGGCGATGCGGTAGGGAGAGGCAGGGGGGTCCGGGGGGTCACGGGCGCGGGTTGTGAGCAGGAACTTGGACACGGGCGAGGCAGTGGTGCTGGACGTCCCGCGCGGGCGGGCCGAGGAGGAGGAGGGGCGCGAGAGGGCGTCGGCGGCGCTCTCGTCGCTGATCACAAACAGCGGCGAGGGGGAGGCGATGACACGTCCATGACATGTCCTCGGCATGACACGTCCCGGACATGTCCTCAGGCGAGTGGGAGGCCATCAAGCGAGAGGCGCGAGGCGTGCTCGAGAAGCTCGCGTCGGCAACCAGCCGAGAGATCGCCGAGAGACAGCGATGCGGAGCGAGTTCGCACCGACACCCGCACCGACAGCAGACCCCCCTCCTCCGCAGCCACGTCCACAGCACGGCCATGACACGTCCACTCCTCCGCAGCCACGTCTGCGGCCATGACACGTCCACGGCATGTCCCAGGCGAAGACGCTCTCCTTCCGCTCGTACCAGCTCTGCGTGTGGCAGGAGAGGCAGAAGGCGGCTGCGAGACACGTCCACGACACGTCCACGACACGTCCATGGCTCGCCCCTGCAGGAGAGGTGGGTCTACGCGGCGGACGACGCGCTCTGCTACCAGCACCTCAACAGCGAAGTCGAGCCGATCGGCGCACCCGAGCCCGTGACCTCGCCCGCACAGCCTCTGCACAGCCACCGACCTGCCCCCCCCCCCTCCCTCCCCCCCTTCCCTCAGGCGCCGCCAAGCGGATCCCGTGCCAGACGGTCTGAGCCGGCCGGCCCTTCTAGGAAACTTCCGGGAGCCTTCCGGGAGCCTTCTAGGTACTCGAGCGTCGAGTTCGTGGGCCCTTTTGACGAGACGCAGTTCGTGATCAAGTGCGCGGGCAGGGTGAGCGACAGCCGCGAGAGCAGCCGAGAGGCCCAGCCGAGATCTCGACTGGCTGATTCACCTCCTCGAGACGCGCTGCATCTCGGCTCTCACCTCGGCTGCATCTCGGCTGTACCTCGCCGCTCAGGCCTTCACCTTCCTCTGCGAGACGACCGAGCAGCGCACGAAGTGGATCAAGAACATCGCCGCCCTCTCCGGCTGCTCCTCCTCCACCGAGGTCTGCTTCAAGTCCCAAACCATGGGGCACTGAGACTCGGGTTAGGGTCTGGCGCCGCGCACCAGAGGCCAGAGGGGGCGGGCACGCGTCGTCTCCTCCTCGCGCGGCGGCTCGGAGGGGCTCTGTGAGACCGGCCTGCCCCATTCAACGCCCTGCCACTCCTTCCCGCGGCGCCCGCCGGCGCGCGGGGGCGGTGCGTCTGTGATGTCCGGGGACGTCTTGCCGTTTGAGGTGCGGCGGCCCTTGTCCTAGCCCTTATCTGCGCGGTGGCGGCGGTGGCGGCGCTGGCTTGGGTGGCCGGGCGCGCCCCGGCACAGGGTGCGGCGGTGGAGACGGAGACGGAGGGGAGATGAGGGGGGTGGGCGGGGGGTATCGGTCGAGATGGACGCCCTAGACGATGTTCGATGTGTCCTCGGCTCTTGGGCTCGAGGTGAATATGTCCGTCGACTCTCGTACGTGCGTTGTCGTATTGCGTTACATTGGTTTACTCGTCTTGGCGTGAGATCGCTCGCTATACTCAATACAGTATACTCGTCGCTGCGCCCACAAACTACCAGCAACCACGAAGAGAGATGGGCCCAGGTAGGAGGCTCCACGCCACCTGACTCGCGTCGTGCCACCTGACTCTCGCCTGGAGAGGCCTCTTAGCCGAGGCACACGTGGCAATCGCCACGTGCGCCAACAGGGATTTCGGCCATTTTAGAGCCTTTTGCACAAAAATGCAGGTGGCTTTAGCCACTTGCTCCATGAGCAAAACAGTGCAAAAAGCACCTGGAGCAGATGGCTTACGCCGCCTGTGGACATGGGCAAAACAGTGCAAAAAGCACCTGGAGCAGATGGCTTACGCCGCCTGTGGACATGGGCAAAACAGTGCAAAAAGCACCTGGAGCAGACGGCTTACGCCGCCTGTGGCCATGGGCAAAACAGTGCAAAAAGCACCTGGAGTAGATTCCAAACGCCGCCTGTGGCCATGTGATGCGCTCGGGTGGCGCCAAGGGCTTCGGCCCCCTCCAAGCCACCTGCCCCGCCCCCCTCGCCACACGTGGAGGGCTGGAGCACGTGCGCCACCTGGGCCTGGGCAGGTGGCAACAGGTGGCTTCAGCCCCCTCCAAGCCACCTGCCCCCCCTCCCTCGCCACACGAGGAGGGCTGGAGCACGTGCGCCACCTGGGCCTGGGCAGGTGGCGCCAGGTGGCTTCGGCCCCTCCAAGCCACCTGCCCCGCCCCCCTCGCCACACGTGGAGGGCTGGAGCACGTGCGCCACCTGGGCCTGATGGGTGGGCAGGTGGCGCCAGGTGGCTTCGGCCCCTCCAAGCCACCTGCATGCCCCCCCTCGCCACACCTGGAGGGCCGGAGCACGTGCGCCACCTGGCGCAAGTTTGAATTCGGAAACGGAAAATCCGAGCCACGGAAGGGCTGGCCTGCCAAACGCGAGCCTCCCCGCTCCTCCCCGCGCTGCAAACTGGGACTGTGGGGTGTGTGAAAGAGGGCCTGCGGCGGTCATCGGCGGCTACAATCAATGTCCGGCGTCGACATAAGCCTGGGGCTTCAACCCGGCCGCGCGGGCGTTTGGTGTGGCTGCAAACGCCGCAGGAGCCGGTGGCTGCGCTGCTCACGCGCCGTTGCTGCCGACGCTGAGCAGTCTGACTCGCCAATGAGAAGACTGCCCGATAATACGCCATCACTCGATCCCCGATAAACCAGGCCATGCAGAGCTTTGTCGGCCTCGCCGACGTCGTGTGCTGGCTGCGCGGTAGAGTTGCGAGAGTGGATTGTGGAGGCGCGGCGGGGGCGGCTCGTGGTGCCGAGGCGGTGTATAGTACATTCCTATTCAAAAGAACACGCACGATGAAATTCCCGAAGTGACGCCCAGGTGGCGCACGTGCTCCAGCCCTCCAGGTGTGGCGAGGGGGGGCATGCAGGTGGCTTAGAGGGGCCGAAGCCACCTGGAGCCACCTGCCCGGGCCCAGGTGGCGCACGTGCTCCAGCCCTCCAGGCAGGTGTGGCGAGGGGGGCAGGTGGCTTGGAGGGGGGCGAAGCCACCTGGCGCCACCCGAGCGGTCACATGGCCACAGGCGGCGTTTGGAATCTACTCCAGGTGCTTTTTGCACTGTTTGCCCATGGCCACAGGCGGCGTAAGCCATCTGCTCCAGGTGCTTTTTGCACTGTTTTGCCCATGTCCACAGGCGGCGTAAGCCATCTGCTCCAGGTGCTTTTTGCACTGTTTTGCCCATGTCCACAGGCGGCGTAAGCCATCTGCTCCAGGTGCTTTTTGGACTGTTTTGCCCATGGAGCAAGTGGCTAAAGCCACCTGCATTTTGTGCAAAAAGCTGCAAAGGACTCGTGGAGGCACGTGGCGCTTTCCGCGTGTGTCTCGTGCAAAATCCGGCATTTTGTGGCTTTCAGGTGGCACGACGCGATTCAGGTGGCGTGGAGCCTCCTACCTGGGCCCATCTATGACCACGAACCGCCAGAGAGGCGAGGGGCCGCGGGGCAGCCGCGGCGCGCTGGGGGCAATCGTGGTCAGTACTGTTATGTATATGCACTCTGCCCCCTATGCATTCGCATCGTGATATGCATCCTTACCGATCCATAACCTTAGCGCCTATACATTTACGTATTTGCAAAATACGTCGCCCTCTCCCACCCTCTCGCGTCGCGGCGCGTGAATGCATAACACAGATACATAATACATAGGCGAATGGATGCGCATTACGACCGAGTGTCACAAAACTCCTATGAATTATGTATTATGCATTTGCATTACGCACTGGGAGTCCACATCGTGTGTTATGTATTACGTATTATGTATTACGTATTGTGTATTACGCACTGCCACTGGGAGTCAACATCGTCTGTTATGTATTATGTAGTACGTATTATGCGTATTATGCACTACGCACTGGGAGTCCACATCGTCTGTTATGTATTACGTATTACGTATTATGTATTATGTATTACGCACTGGGACGTGGGAGTCCACATCGTATGTTATGTATTATGTATTATGTATTGTGTATGATGCGTCATACATTGCGCATTTCAGACAAGCACACCATGTGTGTGTGCTGGCTGCTACGTTTTATGTGCTCGCAGCGGGCACATGCACATATTATGAAAAGCCCGGAAATATATGAAACCTAACGTGTAGACCGGCGAGATGGGGCGCAGCCCCAGCGAGCTCGTTTTTAGAGCGAGCGCAGCGAGCCGATAGAATAGAAAAGGTAGGGTTAGTCTTAACCCGGTCGGTGATAAGCCCGGAAATATATGTGACAAGAAGACCCCCAGCGAGCTCCGCTGTTGCCAGTGCACATACAACCCTAGCCAACTTATGGCAGCCCTAGCGGCAGCGCGAAGTTAGGGTCTGGGCCGAGGGGGGGGGGGGGGGGGGGGTTTTTAAGGCTTCATTCTGCGGAAAGGAATCCCCCCCAGGTTTTAAAAAAAAACCGGGGGAGGGTTGCGGCGCTTGAAAACCTAATACGGATACGTAATGCGTAGTACATAGCTCTCTCCGGCGGGCTTTCGGCGCTTGATACATAATACGGATACGTAATGCGTAGTACATAGCCCTCTCTGGCGGGCTTTCGGCGCTTGATACATAATACGGATACGTAATGCGTAGTACATAGCTCTCTCCGGCGGGCTTTCGGCGCTTGATACATAAAGCGGATACGTAATGCGTAGTACATAGCCCTCTCCGGCGGGCTTTCGGTGCTTGATACATAATGCGGATACGTAATGCGTAGTCCATAGCCCTCCCACGTGCAGGCGCCGCTGAGTGATGCATAATACGGATACGTAATGCATAGCTCATAGCGCCAATGCGACATCGGCAGCGCTGCGCTGTTTGCTGAGACATAAAGGCGAAAACATCGTACGTATTGCATAAGACACGCTATGGACTATGCATTCGCGCGACGTCTGACCCTGCCAATGCATAGGCAGGACACACGGGTGCATATAGGGCCGGTACGTATACATAACAGTACTGACCACGTCTCGCTGGGGGGGGCCACACGACTTGAACCAGACTTGAACCGTCACACATCCCACGCGGCCCCGAGACCAGCGGGCTGCGACGCAGTGATGCGCAGCAGTAGGCGCCGGCTCGGCAGGAGGGCCGAGCCGAGCCGAGCCCGGCCCGCCCCCAGCGCGAAGAGCGCCCCCACCCCACCCTCCCGTCCCCAGCACACGCCCGGCTGCCCGCCATACCTGCCCGCCATACCTGCCCGCCTGCTTGCCGTCTCTCTCTCTCTCTCTCTCTCTCTCACCCCATGCTGTCGAGGGGCGGTGCCTCGAGCGGCTCCTCCTTTGGCGAGGAGGGCTTGCCGCCGCCGTACGAGAGGGCGCCCAGCCGTGCCCGGTCCTCCACCGCCGCCTTTTGCTGGTCGCTGCTGTACTGCGGCGCCTCCTCGCGCGAGGCGCCTGCACACAAAGGGAAATGGTGCGGCAAGGGTGCGGCGCCTCTCCCCTCTCTCACCCTCGACGAGCTCGTTGAAAGTTGGGGGGCGGCGTCTCAGCAACATCTCGGCGGCATCTCGGCGGCGTCTAGCTCCCTCTCGGCTATCTCTCGCCCTCGACGAGCTCGTTGAAGTCCGGGAACTTGACCTCGTCGAAGAGGCCGATGTAGTCCTCCTCCGTGAAGCCGACCTATCTCGCACACTCACACTCCTCACACCGACCGGCACACAGTAGCACTCCTCTGCGAACGGGCTGCAGCCGCCTCCGAATCGCCGAGGGTTGGGGTTAGGGTTGGGGTTAGGGTTAGGGTTAGGGTCAGGGTTAGGGTTCGGGTTAGGGTCAGGGAGGGTTGCAGCCGCCTCCGAGTCGCCGAGCTTCTGCAGAAAGTCCTCGGGGACCTGGACGCCGCTGCCCTGGCAGTTGATGCAGACGACGGTCCCCGTGCTCTCGCAGGTGCCGCAGTCCTGCGTGGCGAAGCTGCCCTCCGTCGTCCGCAGCTCCAGCACCTTGTTGCCGTAGCAGCGCCCGCACACAATCTGGCCCGTGCCGTTGCAGTAGGTGCACTTGAGGCGGTCCTTGACCTGGTCGCGCTTAACGAAGGCGGAGATGACGGTCCCGATCACGCCGACCGACCCGCCGATGAAGGCCGCACCCGCCGCCTCGGACACCAGCACCCGCCCGTCCTGCGGCGACGAGGGAGGGTTCCGGGGGATGGGCGTCAAGGGGAGGTCTGAGCTGCGCCACAGCGGTGCGGCAGTCCGACCGCACGGCCGTCCAGCCACTCCGGACCCCTCCCGTGCTAGCCGACGTGTCTGGCAGGGTGGTGGCGCCTGTGTGATCTGCAGCCACGGGTTGAGTGTCTCGAGGCAGGCGCCCACGTCCGCCTCGTCAAGGCAATTGAGCAGCGGCAGCATATCGTACGCCTCCAACATCGCCGGCGCGCAGCCGCGCGGCAGGATGGGCGGCGGGGCCAACGCTGGGGCTAAGCTGGGTGCCCATGGCAAGCGCATGCTCCAGCGAGCTCTGATCGGATGGGCTCGTCGGAAAGAATTTTACAACTTGGTGCGCCAAGGGCGCGTGCCGTCCTCCCATCTCTTCCTTACGCGCAACGCCAACGGTGCGCGCGTCATGCATTTTCCTTGCAGACTTTCAGCGGACGCGCTGACGCTTCACACAAAACACACTCTCAAGCTGCGCCCCCGCCGCTCCGCGAGAGCGCCACCACGCCGCCGCCCGGCCGCGGCCGCCGCACGCTGCCGGCCCGCCGCCTCCGCGAGGAGCGCCCCGGCGGGCGCTCGCCGCCACACCACGGCGGCCGCTCGCCGAGCAGGTCCTGCAGCGCGCCGCACTGCCGCCGCATGAGCGGCACGCTCACGTCCAGGTCGGGCGCCCCCTTCTTGAAGTACCTCCGCCGCGCCTCCGAGTCGTACACGCGCTGGGAGAAGCGGGCGGCGGCGACGCCCCACGGGTACTCCTCCTCTGGCAGTCGCATCACGCGCAGGAGCCGCCGCACCATTGGCTCGCCTACGCACGATTCGTGGCAGAGGTCCAGCGGAGCTGCGAGGGCCGAAGCCGCGCCGCTAATCGAGGAGCAAGGCTCGCCGTCCCGCGCCCACGACTCCATAAACACGACCCCGAGCGACTGGTTGACGACGTAGCCGGCGTCGACCCAGTCCTCGACCCACCGATCGAGGCGCGAATCCTTGGCGACGATCGGGTCGCACACGCCGTGCCCCGCGGGGTCCCACGCGTCCTCGAGCAGCCAGTTGGGAGGGATGCTGTACCTGCGAGCCGTGTCCCGGGTGCGTCATGGATGTGTCCTCTGCAGCCTCAGAGGGGGGGGGGGGGCACCCGTCCGCGCGCAGCGCGGCAGCGAGGCTGCGCGCCGCCGCCGAGCGTACGCAGTCGGTGCGCAGCGCGACGACAGAGGAGAAGAGCCCCTCGACCGTGGTATTGTACCTGACAAGCCATTTGGGCGGCCGTGGCTTGCCGACGGCGAGACGAGGCTCCTCTCGACGGCGGCGATGCGCCTCCGCTTGAGCGTGACCTGCGCGAAGCGGGTGAAGGTGGAGCGAGCTCCGTGGCGACGCAGCTCGTACTCGAGGAAGTAGATGAAGAAGCGGAAGGCGCGCTGCACCGGGTCGCACAGCGCCAGTGCCACCGATGCGGATGGGTAGGCGCGCCGGAGCCGGCGGGCGAGGACGGACGCATGCCGATTCTCGAGGCCGGGGTGCTTCACAATCCAGGCGAGGCCGCTGCCGGGCGTAACGCCGGGATTGTGCCTCACCACCAGCTCGGTCGCATTTGCATCCCGCGGGTCAAACAGGACCTCGCTCTGGTTGGTCAGGCGGACGCGCGGGTGGAGGGCGAGATAGTTGGCGAGGGCATTCGTGCCACACTTGCCGAGGCCTGGAACGAGGAGAGCGGGGCCGCACAGCGAGTGCGAGCCGTTCCAGAAGAGGTCGCACGGCGGAGGTCGCATGTGCATGAGCGCGAAGCGCCCGCCGAGGATGGATGATGGATGTTCCGAAAAAATCGAGCATCCAAACGCGTCATGTGGGCGCTGTCCGCTGAGCCACGTGCTCGCTCGCACCCACACCAGCGGCGGCCCTGTGTGGGAGGCGCGTGGCAATTTGTCAGCCTACTGTGCGGCGTCCACCAAGCTGTCACAGCGATGGGCTCGCCCTCACTGGCCCTCAGTCACTTGTACTTGTGCTGCGGCTTGTGTGAGCGACACCTGCTCGGCGACTGCCGGCACACTGTGAGACCATGGGTGTGAGATAAAACCACGCTACCAGCTACCAGCGCTTGGTCACATCGGCCCCGAGGTCAGATCCTTCTACTCTGATCTCTGTTGATGACAAGACTTGTCTACGGGGGCTTTATACTCCCCGTACTCGCTGGAGGTGGAGCCGAGCAGGTGGGTTGTTGCACGAGTATATGGGACACGATGTCTCAAATATGAGGGGCTTTGACTCCTACCAGCTCCTGACGCTATCCCTGGCAGCTCTAATGACCAGGATCAGTAGTGCTATAATAGAGGGTGCCCATACTAGCGCAGGAGCTGCCACACTCGCCCGGACCGTCCCCTTCTGGGGCCGGTTCCGCAGCCCGCGAGAGCCGACAGCGGGGCCGTGCCGCGGGTGCCTACTGCCGAGTGCCACAAACACTGCGCCGTCCCGCCATCACCTACAGGCTGTCTTGTGTGATGGTTGGGATGTCCAAACGCCACCATCTTGGCTCTTGCGACCTCAAACCCGCGAGCTGTATGGGTGGTCCTGACGTCGACAGACGCCCGAGGACCACGGTGAAGCTGAGCTGGAACGAGTCGACAAGTCTCGTCTGAGCCCGTGGCGGTCGCCGGCTGAGTCGCTGTGCACGGACCGGTACCTCAGGCGTCACCTCCGCAGCCTCAGGTCTCACACTCCATCACCTCCGCCGGGACGCCGTCGGTGGCACGCTCGGCGGCGAGTTTGTGTCAGCTCCACAGAAAGCGCGGCGTCGAGCCTGCTCACTCCAGTTGGTTCGGCACACTCGGTGGGGTCCACTGAGTGTGCCGAACGCGCGAGCGGTGCGTCCCGGCAGCCCGCGCTGGCTGCGGAGCTGCCACAAACTCGAGACACGCTTTTTTGGGACATTTTCGACGCTTTTGTCCCATATACTCGTGCAACAACCCAGGTAGCAGGGGAGGGCCTGGCGCACAACCACAAGCCACAAGGGTGCCCCACAACTCCTGGTCAACTGAGGGTCCTTCCCCTTTATGAGATATGTGTGTCCCCCGCCCTGCACGATAAAATACTGACGTTTGTATAGAAAACCGCCGCGGGACGCGCGCCGCACGAATGCGGCCTCTCGTGTCGCCCGACGCCGATCTACGACAGCGCTAGTTGGGGACTCCCACCACTAGTGACGCCTCTCGCGACCCATGCAGCACGGCAGGGCCTCTCGCCGCGCCTCGCCGCATGGCCATCACTGGGGCACTGGGCGGAGAGCACCGCCACGGCCTCCCCATCACTCGGCCGCACGCTTCTCGCCCTCCTCCTCCTTCCAGGAGAGGGCCTCGTTGATGTACTTGTACCCGAGCCCGCCCAGCGCGAGCGCGGGGGGGAGGGCGCCCACCTGCCGCCCGGCGTGTCAGTGGACATGTCAGTGGACGTGTCAGTGGCGTGTCAGTGGACATGTCAGTGGACGTGTCAGTGGACGTGTCAGTGGACGTGTCAGTGGGCGTGTGGACGTGTCAGAGGACGAGTGTCAGAGGACGTGTCACGGGACAGGGACAGGTGCGGGGAGAGGGAGAGTGAGGGCAGCCTCGAGGGGAAGTTGCCTGCCACGGCAGCCACTCCGCGTACCCGATGCCGCGCGACATGGTGGTTGCCGTTAGCGGGATGGAGGCGAGGGCGAGCAGCTCGGCGTTGACGATCGAAGTCATTCTCGCCACGAGCCTGTCCGCAGGCTCTAGGCGTGGAGAGACGCTGCTCACGTGCACAAGGCCCGGCCACCCTCGCCTCGAGCCTGTTCACAGACACGCGAGCTCAGGGCGGTGAAGGCATGGCGGCGCCTCCTCCTCGCCAGCAGGCCTCGGGGACATCGGCGGGATGGACGCCTCTCCCGCGTCGCGCTGCCTACCAGGAAGGCTCCGAGCAGGCTCCGAGCAGGCTACGAGGAGGCGCGCCAAAGCCCGCGTCTCGCTGCCGAAGTGCGCGCTGGATGATGATGGCCGTCGGGAAGAAAGATGCGGCCCCTGCGGAGCAGTCAGCCCTCTGGAGAGAGGCGCGTGGCAGAGAGGAGAGGAGAGGGGAGGCGGCGCCTGCGACGGCGAGCAGCGTCAGCTTGAGCCAAAAGATGGGCTCGTGCGCGTAGAACTCCCACCCCTTGCCGAACTGCGTGGCTCGGAGGTAGCCGGTCACGACGATGACCAGGCCTGTTCCTCAAAGTAGAAGCTCGTCGGGCGATGAGCGCCTCGCGAGGCTGCCCGCCACTGCAGAGCGCCGGCGACGCCGTACAAAGAGTCGGCGATGGAGAGGACGTTGTCGTCCGCCTTTCCCATGCCCTCCTAGTCTCGACATGCCGCGGGTAAGCAGGCGGCGCACCCTCTTTCCGCCCTCGTTCACACCTTGAGAGTGAGCCGCTCCGCAGTGAGGCACACGCCGCTGAGCAGGAAGCCCGCGTAGTGCAGGTAGGCCACAATCGCGCTGGCCAGGGCGTTGGGCGCCGCCGACGCTGCGAGGAGGGGCGCTGGCAGCGAGGTCGCCGCAGCAGCAGCCTCCGGCACGGAGAGGTCTGGCGAGAAGAGGAGCGGCTGCTGACTGCGAGAGTGGCGTGAGGAGAGACGCGGTGGCTTCAGCGTGGCAAACGCTTCAGACCCGCGGACGGCGAACGCCGCCATCGCTATGAGCGCGATCGAACGCATCGTGAGCTTGTGGTGAGCGAGTCTTCGAGCGTTCTTTGCGTTGTTTTCTTTTTTGAAACCTGTTTTTCTGCGACGACCGGCGCCGTCGTCATTCCGTTTCTTCTTCTCACGAGACCTCGCTGCAGTCGACCGCCCTAGGGCCGATTGGCTGGTCGCATGTTGCGGCCGTCGGCGCTGGGTGGCATGCTGCGGCCTGCACGCCATCTGGCGGTGAGCAGCCGCCACTTCGCCGCCGCTGCGTGCCGCTTCGACCATCTCGGCGGCGAGCAGCCCGCCAGCATGAAGGGCCGCCTGCCGGTGACGCTCTTCTGGGACGGTGCGAGGAAGCGTGGTCTAGGGCCATAGTGCGAGGGAGCATGGATGGGAGGACGCACTGAAACAGCGACTTCCCGTCGATACCCACGCACCGCATCCGGCGCCGCCTCCTGTGACCTCTGCCCGGGAAGCATATCAGGCGCCAAGCCGTCGGATGAGTTCCCGTCCCTGGCAGCGGAGATCAGCGGCACGCGAGGGGCGGAGCTGACGCGCTTCACGCGGCTCACTCATTCCATCCTGCACGCGATCGCGCGGCCCGAGAGCGCGGCCATGCTCGGGCTGAGCATCGCCGCCATCTACTCGGTCTGTGCCCCAAACGGGCACGCAGAGGGGGGTGGGGCCAGAGATGCGATCTCAGCCGCAGCTCGGTCCGTCGTCGTAGGTTGGTCTGGTGGAGGGCAGCGTGGTGCTCAAGGCGGGCATCTGGGGCGCCGACATGCCTACGGCGGCTCACTTTCTCCTCCGGTATGCCTACGAGCAGACGATGGTCTCAGCGGTGTGGGGGATGCAGGACCCAGTCACGATAGCCACGGCGATGGGCCTCGAGCCCGCGGCGGTCCTGCGCCCGTCCATCGCCACGGGCGTGGCGCCGTCCGAGCCCGAGTGCGCGCGCGGGCTGCTCCAGGTCACCGGCCTCTGCGCCGTTCGCTCGCTGATTGCGACCACCCTCTTCCTCTCGCAAGTGCCGTGCTCTCCGCCTCGCGCACGGCCACGGCAAGCCCAGAGCGCTCTCGCCTCGAAAACAGGTGCTTCGCTCCGTCTCGCTCGGCATGCGCGCCGCAGACGACTTTCGCGAGCGAGTTGCGGCAGCTCGCCGAGACACGTCCGCGGCACGTCCGCGACGCCGCTTGCGCCGTGTCCAGGCGCGTGCGGCTGGGACGCGAGCCACTCTTCCCCGGGATCGAGCAGCGGATCATCCGGCTGTGCGGCCGGCAGTCGGACGTGACCGAGGTGTCGCTGCTGCGGTACGGGCCGCACATCGTGCCGGTCTTCGAGCGGCCGGCCGCAGTTGCGACGCTGATCCACGCCCACTCGCGTGCCCTGCGCGAGCCGGTCTACTGGCAGGTCTCCGAGGGCGGCTGTACCTCGGCTGTACCTCGGCCGTATCTCGGCTGCAACTCGGCTGCATCGCGGCTGCATCGCGGCTGCAGGTCTCCGAGGGGTCGTACTCGCTCCCTCGCTCGTGGCACGCCTTCCCGTGGAACGCGGACTTCTTCCTCACCACAACCACCGGCCGGAGGCTCCTCTACCTCGAGGCGAGACATAGCCGAGACACTTCCGAGACACTTGCGAGACACTTCCGAGGAGGCTCCTCTACCTCGAGGCGAGACATAGCCGAGACACTTCCGAGACACTTGCGAGACACTTCCGAGGAGGCTCCTCTACCTCGAGGCGAGACTAGCCGAGATCTAGCCCACGACACGTCCGCGACACGTCCGCGACACGTCCGCGACACGTGCAGCCAGACCTGACCAGCGTCGGAGGCGAGCCAGAGGCGGAGCCTTCCGATGGAGTCGTCGGAGCTCTCATGTGCAGGCGGACCTGACCAACTCGGAGGCGAGCCTCGCCCTCTCGGCCAAGCAGGCCGACCTGACCATGGAGGACGCGTCGCAGGCTTTCCTCCGCATCCGGCGTGCCGCGAGGCTGTGGCAGCGCTCGACGCCGCAGGCCAAGCCCTTTCGCAACTTCCGCGTGGTGCTTGGCAACCCGCGCGCGCGCGAGGCGGAGCGGACGCGCACGCTGCGAGAGCGGATCGACCGGCTGCACCAGGACACCTCCTAGAGGGCACCTACAGACTGCTCAGAGCTTCTGCGCGAGAGGAGCGGTCGTCTGCACCAGGACAGTCCCTAGACGCGGTCCTATAGAGACTGCATAGTGAGAGACTGCATAGCGAGAGAGGAAAGGCTGCCCCAGGCGGACGTCCTCATCGACAGCCAGGCGCCCGTGATCGGCGAGGTCTTGCGCTGGTGCGCAGAGGTGTGCGGCAAGCCCGACTTCCAGTGCGGGGCTCGCGAGGCACGCATCGCGGCTCTGCAGCGGCAGATCGAGGGCGGCGGGCGGCCGGTGGGGGCGGCGGGCGGGGGCGGCGGCAGGGGCAGCAGCCTGCCGGGCAACACGAGCGTGTAGGAGTCTCGTTCGCGATCGGGCCCGCTCCATGTCTGGGCCACTTGCCATAGGGAACACGATCGTGGTGGAGAGCGACTCGCCGGAGCGTTTCAACGCGCTGGGGCGCGTATTGAAGCCCTTTGGCTACACGGTGATGGACCCGGTGGAGGCGGAGGAGCTCGAAGTCGCGGCCGTTCGGCCGAGAGACCGGGACGCGGCGCCGCTGGAGCGGCTGCCGCGGCTGGTGCACTGCATGTCGACGGCGCAGACCATCGCTTCGGTCCAGGCGCTCGTCGCGCCGCGCAAGGGCTTGCGCGGCCTGGTGGACGTGCGGCGCTGCTGCGCGCTGCTCGACCGCGCGGAGTCCGTCGACGCGCTCGAGGACGCGCACGACGAGGCGCACAGCCGGCACGCGGAGCTGGTCGAGGAGCTGGTCGAGCGGCTGCCCGCGGGCGAGAAGCCCGCGCTCAACATCGTCTGCACCGCGGTGCTGTACGACGACCTGCTGCGGCAGGTGCGGGACCTAACCCTAACCCTAACCCGAACCCGAACCCGAACCCGAACCCTAACCCTCTACGACGACCTGCTGCGGCAGGTGCGGGAGTGGGCGAGGCTGGGGCACAGCCCGGCCGAGATACAGGCGGAGCTAGACGCGCGATTCGCGCGCGTGGCGGGCGTGCTGGGAGACGTTAGCTTCGTCAAGTAGCGCCGCTGTACGATCGGGTCATTCGTTCAGCGCCACGATTCAGCGCCTTCAGCTTCACCCAGCTGCAGTCGCCCAACCCCCCCAGGGGATGCGCGTGGACGGGGAAGAGTCTCAGGCTGGCCGAGATGCATCTCTGTGCGACAGCTTGTCGAGTTTACACATGTGTGAGAGAGTGTGTGTGCGTGTGTGTCTTCTTCGTTGAGTCGGTTGGAAGGACGATGAGAGCCGCGGTACTTTTCGGGGGTCGGGGCCGCTAATTTCCCTCGCTAAATTCTTTTCGACAGTGTTTGTGCGCGATGCCGATGGAATTTTCCTGTTTTCGTCTTGTGAAGTATGAGCTATGACGGCTTCTGAATTCGCTGTGTGGCGAGGGTGGCGACGGCTTCTGAGGAAGCCGCGTCTGTCACGGGGCGGGGGTTCCCGATGGGTGGCCGGGTGAGGGCCCGAGGGTTGCGGAAGGCGCGCGGCGGGGTCGGCGGGCTCGAAGCCGGCTTCGAGCCCGGCCCGACCGCCGCCACCGGGGGCCGCCGCGCCGTAGAGCGGCCCGCCGGTCTTCCTACCGGCGATGCACGCGGCCGCGCTTGGAGGCGCTGATTGCTCGGCCGCGCGGGGGTGGTTGACTCGCCCGCTGGGAGGGTGGTGCACGGGGTTTGCGGCGGGGCCCCCAACGTCCCCGGGGCGGCGCGCCGCGCGCGGGCAGCCCGCGCGCCGCCGCCGCCGAGGTGGTGGTGGCGGTGATCTTGGTTTCTGTCTCGGCCTCGGTCTCCATCGCTCTGAAGAGCATCTTCGCCTCGCGGTCGAGGTCGCGGGCGCGGGCCCCGAGGGTTTGCGCTCGCTCCCTATCCCGATGCATCTCGAGCGTCACCCGGAGGCACTCGATCTCCGCCCGCGCCTTCGCGAGCTCGGTGTGGTCCGCCCGCCTCACGGGCCCGTGGGACGCGCCGTCGAAGTCGACGTAGCGATCTCCCGTGTCTGAAGGGACCTTCCCTTCTGCGCCTCCTCCTCTGCAGTCCGCTGCGGAGGGCTCGCCGAGCCGCGCCGCGGCACGTGCTTGTGCACCTCGGCCAATGCCGGGGGCTTCCGTGTGTAGAGAGCACGGCCGCCGGCCGCAACTTAGGGTACCCCAAAGGAATCGGCGGCCCAGCAGCTCTTAAAACCTGCCATGGCAGGTTTTAAGCCGTTTAAGCCGCAGGCACCCCAGGGCCCACCCTTTTAAGCCTAGGGGTACCCTAAGGGCCGCAACGCCCGTCCAGACGCCGTCGCTCTGGGCACCCGGCGTCAGGAGTGGCTGGCTCTGCAGCTACAACTGGTCTCGTTCAAGGGCACCCCTGTCGGGTACGCCGTACGTGTCGTCGCTTGGCGGTGGTACGGAGCGCCATTGCGCGCCGGGGTCTCGTGACCCGTGGCGGGGATCATAGTCCGCGCCGGGGACCTCCTCGATATCGTATGTCTCATGCATGCCCGCAGGAACGTGCGCCCCCGCGGTATGAATCTCGACGTGGCTCGCAGCGTTCGCGCTCTGCCATCATGGTCAGATGCTCCGCAGGACCATGTCTCCGGAGGGCCGACAAGCGCCGTGGTTGTGTAATTCCCGCCGGTGCGCTTCTCTGGGTTCCCAACGATCGGAAGCCCACGGGCGGTGCCGCGGTCCCTGTCGCTGTATCCCACCCCAGGGGTAGTCACGCCCGAGCGTCCCCTCGGGGTCCGCCTCGAGCCAGTCCGGGTTGTTAGGCCCGGAGGTTGTATAATTCGCCGCCATCGTCGTGCGGCGCCGCCGCCTGCCGCGGTCCCTTGTTCTCGCGGCTTCTTTCGCCTTTCGGCGCAACTCCGTCCTCCTCGCGGCGTATCCTGGCCCCTCGAGTCTATCGAGCTCCCCTCGCGCAAGGACCACATTTCTGACTCCCACTCCGATCATTCGCCCAGGGAAAACCAGGAATTCTTTTTTCGGGATTCTCGGACGAGGGCTTAGGGAACGAGCATCGGCAACGACGGCAGCGGCTGCGAAGCAACAGGCAACAGCGCGAGGCAGGCGGCACTGACTTACGATGCCTACTGCCTTGAGATCCATCCTCTCGCTCCTCCTGGTCGCGCCCTCCGCCGGCTTCCGGTGCGCACCGGCAGCTCTCCGCACTGGCTATCCCGCAGCAGCCCGCCAGCCTCTGCCGCCCGCCATGGAGTTTGGAAAGGGCTTCGGCTCGTACTACAGCGGCTGGATCGACTTCGTAAAGGAGTACCCGCAGGAGGACCGCGATGCCTACCCGGCCCTCTTCGAGCTGCCAAAGGACTGCTACGAGGTGAAGCTCGACAAGCCGCTGGGCATTGCTTTTGAGGAGGGGAGCGACGGCGGTGTCGTTGTACAGTACCTCGTCGAGGGCGGCAACGCGGAGCAGAGCGGCGTCATCAGCGCCGGAGACGCGCTCCTCGCGACCACGGCCTGCATGGGTCGCGACGGCACTTTCGAGCGGAAGGTGATACCGTCCCGCTTCCTCGACTTCGACACCATCATGGGTGAGGCCGCCGCGCGGGGGACGGCGGGCCGTGTGGCAGGCGCGGCTCTCATGCCATGCCTATGGAGCAGGTGCGATCGGCTCCAACGAGCCAAAATTCAGCAAGACGAGGACCAACGACGTGATCCTGCAGTTTGCACGGCCCGGCGCGCAGACCCGCCTCGCCCCGCGCGCTTGCGGCCCTCGGCGATCAGACGACCCTGCACCGTGCCAGGCGCGCCGATGGAGAACGAGGGCGACCCGTACGACGGCGGCTCGCGCGGCGTCAAGGACTACCTCAAGTCCCTCGAGTTTCCAAAGGACTCGCCGTGGCTCAAGCGTTGACACGGACGGGACCGCACTACTTCCTCGACATGCTCTGTCTTCGGAGCGCCGCGTACTCGCGTACTCGTCAGCTGTGTAGAGGCTAGCTCTCAGCCACATGCCGCATGTAACATGACAGGGAAACTGACTGCGCTTGTTTACAGTATACCGTCGCTCTCGGTTGGGGGGTCCCGCTCCAGTCCTACCAGTGCACCACACACCAGACCACCACTCCCCGACAATCCGGAGTAATTGAAATCTCTAGTCTTTTTTAGAGATTGAGAGCTTAAAGATTTGAAAGACTCCACTCGGGTCTACAGTGCTACCCAGAGATTTGAGACCAGAGATTTGAGATTTGAGACCTCAGTCACTCAGCCTCCCCCTCCGGTGGGAGACTTTGAGATTAGAGACCAGAGACTTGGAGAATGAGATTTCCCACACCAAAAGGAATCTGCGGTCGAGTTCGCTCGAGATTCAAGATTTGAGACTGAAGATTTGGACGGCCTCCAACCTAGAGATTTGAGAGCTGAGATTTGGAGATTTGCGGCGTGAATACTGAGACAAGAGCCTCGAAGCTTCTAGAAGGGTTGGGCTGGTTTGACCTGCAGTGAGATTGAGGTCCGAGGCATTCGTGCACAAAGCAGACACCAGACCTCGGTTTCCCATAGGGTTTCTGCTGCGGTTTCCCATGGCGGTTTCCCATAGCCGAAAACCCAGGGGTCGGTCGGTTTCTGCGGCGCGCTCTGTTTTTTCTGGGATCTGTTTTCTGGGACACCCGCCTCGATTTCCCGTGGGATCTGCCTGTGGGTCTGGTTTCTGCGGTGTGAATACATCTCCCGCTTCGTCCTAATGAGCTCATTCCGGCCAATGAACAGGTTCCCCATCCGATTTTTTTTCAAGTGGGAACAGCAAAAAGCGGCATGCATTTTGTTCTGGTTTCTGGTTTCTGCTCCGATTGGTCGCGACTGATGATGAGTGTTAAGCTGAGGTTGTCAACGCCGGGTGCGGGTAATTCTCGGCACGGATCGGCACGTGCGGTAGCGTGCGATGAGGCCTTGCCAGCTCCTGGTGGTGCCCTCAAGATCGCCGCGCGCATTGGCCGCTCCGCCGACGTTGTGATAGAGCTTCTTTCTGTCTCCAACAGAGTAGATCCAAACACTCTATTGATAGGTGATAGGTACTCAAAACACTCGCACAACGCCTGCCTTTCACAGCTCAGCCTTTCAGGGCTTGGGCATGACAAGCTCAACGGCCCCGCCGGTCGGCGTCCGATGCACGAGGCAGCCATGTTGGCTGCCACGGCGTTTCCGCTCGGGATCGCGGCAGCCTGGCGGACTCGACCGCATCGCAGGCCTCCCTCCCGTGAGCCACAAAAGTGCGTGGCAGCGCGGCGCGCCGCCAACCTCGCTTTCGGAGCAGAAACCAGAAACCAGAAACCAATGCCTGGAGCGATAAAACGGTTCCCCCCAAGGGTTCCTCCCACCCAGAACATGCTGCTGTCTTAGTACTCCCGTTCGACCCATTCGGAATCCGATTAGTTAATGAAAGGTCATTCCGCCGGAATGACCCCTCCACGGGGAGATCGTTCACACCTCGAAAAACCAGAACCCAGAGTGTCTGGACCGATATTCCCATGGCCCGGATGTTTTCTGTGGGATGTGTCGAAAAAGCAGAATACAGAGCTCCTCCTCCTATAAGTCAGACGGTTTCTTGATAGCTGATATGCCAGGGAAGAGCCTGGTATCTCAGTATGTTATATCCTATGATATAACATAGTGGTGTCTGGTTTATGCACACCTCCCGAGGTCTGAGATTTGAGATTGAGATTTGAGATTGAGATTTGGGGCCCGGGGAGCCTGCGGCGCCATTTTAATCTGCGCTCCTCTTTATGGCCTGCGGCGCCTGGCTTGAGCTTGGAAGTGTAAACGAGTCCGCCAGGGCGGTCTGCAAACACGGAGCGCGCTGCGCGCGCGGTCTACGCCGAATTAGATGAGAGGGACAGCGCTATCCGCAAAGGCTCGACCAGCTGCGGCGCGGGCTCGTCGGCAAAGGTCGTCCACTCCTTGGCGTACGGCTCAAAGCCGGTGTGCGAGTGGAGCATCTGCGTGTCGAGGCGCCACAGCATCTCGCCCTCAAAGATGATGTCTCGCGACAGCTGGACGTACTTGCGAGTCCGATCCATCGCGCCGTCATACGGCACCTGCTTGCCCTGAGCCAGCCGAGCGACTCCTCGGCATATGAGAGGTTGTGCTTGGCGCGGCAATCTGGGCAGCGCTTGCAGTAGAGGAGCCCGCCAAAGCGCCCGTGCGTGCAGTATACGGTTGGACGGACGGGCTCGTCGCTGACCACAAGGCGCACCTTCTGCCCTTGCAAAGCGCAGACGGCGCAGAACTCAAGGGACCAGGTGGAGCGGCGTGGACTTCTCCTGCTCATGGGAGCGCATGGGGTCGAGAAGATCCACGAGAGCGCTGATGCCCGCCTCGCTCTCGATGCTGCTGACGAGGACGTTGATGGTCGTGGACGCGTGCTTTGTTTGCATGTCGGCAGCGATGACCTCTGCGCGATCGGGTGTGTCGACTGGGTAGCGGGCCATGCCGAGGAGAAGCGCGACGATCTCATCCTCACTCTCGAGCGGCCACAGCTTCGTGGAGAACCGCCTCAGGCGGCGGCGAGATGGGCGGCGGCGGCGGCGCAAGCATTGCAAGCCGAGCGTGCCTCTTTCAGTCTCAATCTCAAATCTCGAGTCACGCTGCCCTAAACGAGTAGATTTCGGGGGTCCCGAAATGATGTTTTTCGAACGAAGCGAGATAAAGGCGTTGGAAGGTTGAGGAAGTTCACAGCATTCTGCATCGAAAACGGAATCTCTCTTGCTTGCAGTCTCAGTCTCTCCCACCCCTCATCGAAATCTCAAACTCCCAAAGCGAAAAGGAATCTTCGCCATTTGAGATCTCACGCGTTTCCTCTAGAAACTCACACCGAGCGACGGGAAGACTGAGATTTCGTGGCTGAAGTCTCGACGAAGATTTGGGAGATCTCAAGGGCGGGACTAGAGACTGAGATCTGCCCTGAAATCTTCAGGTCTCACTCCTCTCAATCTCTAAGAAAGACTAGAGATTTCGATGACTGACAATCCGACCCTCTCGTGCGGTCTCGCGGATGGATCCTCCCACCTCCGCGGCTCCACGCGCGGAATGCACACAGCGCGGCGCCGGCCGCCGCGCGATGCGCGAACTCTCTCCGTCGGCTCTCGCGCGCGCTCTCTCCACCCTCGCCACACGGGCACACGGCCACCACGCGCACCCGCAAGGAGCAAGGTGCCACGCTCCACGGGGCCCCAGTGCCCAGACGGTCGCCCAGAGAGGAGAGAGAAAGCGCGGGGGCGGGGCACGGTTGGACGTTGGAGCACTTGGACCGCTCTTGGACGTTGGAGTGCAGCGTCATCAGCCTCACACACCCAGGGGGCGGGGGGGGGGAGCTGAGTCCTGAGAAGCGCACCCAGTGAGCAGTGTGTGGGCCGGATGATCGGGATCGGGCTACGGGCAAGAGAGATCCTGCTACGTGCTAGGTGCTGGGGGGGGGGGGGGGGTGCGCGTTCGTGCAGGGGGGAGCCGAGGGGCCATATCGCCATAAACGAAGCAAGTAAACTCACGGGTCTCGCCGAGGGTTGGTCTGCGCACCAATTCGCAATTGCTGCGCACTGCGCTTTTTGGGTTCCCCCTAGCAGCGCGGAGAGCGCCCCCTCTACTCGGAGCTAAGAAACACCAGAACGTATCTTGATAAAGAGCCCTACAGCCGTTGTCCGCTCTGCTCAGGCTCCCCCCGTGAGGATTTTCCTTCACCCCCGAGCCGTTGGGCCGTTCTGCGGCCGCCCGGGCGGGGGAGCCCCGGCGGTCCGCGGGCGCTGTCCACTGACCACTGTCAGGGGTGCGGAGGCGCTGTCGCGCCGCAGTCGGGGTGTCGCTTTTTACTGTCAAACCGGTGCTCAGCGGATGGGCCCCGCGCCGTGCGCGTCTCTCGTCGACTCTCGACTCTCGTCCATTCATTAAAATTTAAATTCGCTGAAAGCTCCCCCAGGACATGGCTCATGGCCCGCACACATCAACCCCAGAGCACGCGCACCGCGGTCGAGCCCGCGCCTCGGCTCGCCGCTGCCCGTCACAACACCTCCAAGTCTATGTATTTGAACTCTGGGTACGCCGTGCGCACGATGTGCTCCAGCCGGTCTACCTGCGGCGAGGAGAGCGGCGAAATCACTCTGCGTGCCCGTGTCTGCGGTGTGTGGGGCGAGGCCGAAGGAAGGTCCCGCGGCTGCTGCTTGTGGGCACGTCGCGTGAGGGCGGCCGGCGCTGCCGCCTCGATGGAGAGAGTCGCGAGGAGGAAGACGGCGGACCGCTCGAAGAGTCGCTTCGCGTCCTCCTCCGTCTCGACCGCGCGGCACGTCTTGTGCACCTCGCGCAGGTTGTTGTGCGCGGCGAGGTACTTGTCCGAGAGCAGCTGCGGGTTGAAGTGGATCTCGGCCTTGAAGCGCGCGCTCTGCGGCCCCACCAGCACCGACTTGACGTCCTGCACCGTCAGGACCATCTCGTCCGCCTACAGAGTGTCTCGGGGGGGCGTCCCGGACGTGTCCCGGACGTGTCGGCGCCATCTCGCGGCGCCTCGAGCGTGCGGACGACGTCGCGGGTGCGGCGCGGCACCGACTGGCCAAGGAAGGTGCGGTTCCTGTGCAGGAAGGGTCGGGGGAGGGTCGGGGGAAGGCGCACGAGCCGCCGCCCTGCCGAGGAGGTCTGGCTCCGGTTGATGATGAAGATGGCGACGGCGCCCATCAGTCCCCCGACGGCGATCGAGCCGGCGGCGTCGTAGACCGGGTTGCCTGCTCACAGCTGGAGGGGTGGAGAGGCGACGCTCCACACCCACTCCTCGCGGCGCCGCAGGAGCAGGGCGGCCAGTCACGTGCGTGAGGCCGACGCCTGCAGGAAAGCTCCGAGAAGGCTCAGGGAAAACTCGGGCGAGTGGCAGTCACAAGCGAGACGCCGACGCCCGCAGCGGCGATGCCGACCCCGACGACAGCCACCGAGTCCTCGAGCAGGACGGCGGGGTTGAGCGGGTCGGTGCCTGCTCACGGCTGCGGCCGTGACGACGCCTCGAGCCGCCAGAGCGGGGTACGAGCGGGCGCCTCTGCTGAGGTACTGCAGCGGCGTCATCTCCGCCTTGCGCGCCTCGACCTGCGAACCCCATCGCAGCGCCCGTGAAGGGGCGCTCGCCTCGCGGCCGGCGGCTGTGTATGTGCTGGCGGCGCGGAGACACGCGCCGGCAGCATCTCGTGCCACGCGACGGAGAGTGTGCAGTCTCGTGCAATCTCGTGCAATCTCGGGTGATCACGCCTGCATCTCGTGCCACGCGACGGAGAGTGTGCAGTCTCGTGCAGTCTCGTGCAATCTCGGGTGATCACGCCTGCATCTCGTGCCACGCGACGGAGAGAGTGTACCCCTCGAGCACGCCCGCCTGGGAGGGACGTGTCGGGGACACGTCATGGCCAAGCCACGCGACGGCGCGACCCCCATCGAGCACGGCCCGCCGCGAGGAGCACGCCGAGCGCCGTCGGCAGAGAGTCGATCTCGTGCGGCGCGAGCAAGCACGAGACGCCGTGGTACACCTGCGCCGCGCTGCCGGCGGTGAGCGAGAGGACGGAGAGGCGTGTCGGCAGAGAGACGCCCGTGCTGCACCTAGACACTTCCTCGACACTTCGTAGACACTTCCTAGAGAGTCGGCAGAGAGACGCCCGTGCTGCACCGACGCGCCCGCGCCGAGAATGAAGGTCGAAACGCCTAGACGGTGGTCCGGAGCAGGCTGGGAGGAAGCTCCAGCTGCAGCGCAGGCGACGCGATGTCGACGCCGGAGATCATTGCCCAGACGTAGACCTCGAAGCCATACCCGTACGGCCGCTGCTCGTCTGCGACGCGGAGCGACTGCTGCAGCCCGACGGCGAGGAGGACCTGCAGACATGCCCCGGACAGAGTGAGCCGAGATTGAGCATAGACTGCAGCGCGGGTGCGAGGAGGTCGCCTGGTTGCCGAGGTCAGCGATCGAGTGGATCGACTCGGAGAGCAGCGACGCAGAGCCCGTGCAGATCCAGCCCGCGAACTTGATGCCCGCGACGCCAGAGTTGCCGACGATCGCGGCGAAGACGGCGCGCGACCCGACGTTGATGTGGCCTGCAGGGGTCCGGGCGGGCTCCGAGAAGGCTCCGAGAAGAAGAGCGCGATGGTGCGTCGGTGTGCGCCCGCTCGCTGCCGGACGGGCCGCAGCAGCATCAGCACCGGCGGCTGCCTCCTCGCCAATCGCCTGCAGGGCCCGGCACGCTGAGGGTCGGGACACGGCCAGCAGCTACGCCACCTGCCCCGCTTGGCTAGGCTGCAACTCGGCTTCCTCTCGGCTGCACCTCGGCTGCACCTCGGCTACACCTCGGCTACACCTCGGCTACACCTCGGCTACGCCTCGCGCCTGTCCCGCTTTGCGCGCCGCTCCTGCAGCGCCGCCTCGAGGAGCTGCGCGGAGCCCCACTTGCGCAGGGCGGCGTCCTGCGCGCCGAAGACCCGAGATCGCCGAGATAGCCGAGATCGCCGAGATCGCCGAGATAGCCGAGGCGCCGCCGAGGTGCGGCCGAGGTGCGGCCGGAGTGCGGTCAGGGCGCAGAAGTGCGGGCGAGGTGCAGCCGAGGCGCGGCCGCGGTGCGGCGGAGGGCGACAGCCTGCACGTCAAAGACGACGTAGAAGCGCGTGTGGCGCGGCGCGCCGTACACGTTGTACTTTGCGACGAAAGGCAGCCCAGCGAGGTCTCGCTTGCGCAGGTTGTACTGCTCGTACGCCTGCGAGAAGAGAGCTCTGCTCACCACTGGGACTGCCGTACGGGCTCGCTGCGCCTGGAGGGGGGCTTGGAGACGGGATGCGTCGAGGAGCGAGGGGGAGAGGGTGCCTCGTGCGACGAGAGCGTCTTCCACTGCTTCGAGTGCCCAAACTCCTCCATGCGCCGCTCCTTGCCCTTCTCCCACCGCTGCATCGAGCTCACGTACGTCTGCGCCCAGCCCGACTCCCACCGCCCCGTCGCAGACGCGCCGGACCCCTCCCAACGTGGAGGAGAGCGCAAAGGCCCCACCCTCGGCCCTCGAAGCTGCACGTCCGGCCCTGGCATCACCGTCGGCAGCCGCTTCGCGGTGCTCGCAAGCGTGCGCGCTGCTGCCTGCAGCGGACGGCTGCTGCTCCGTCTGCATGAAAGTCTCCGACGCCACATCACAGCCCGATGACAGCCCGCAGCCTTCGATCGCCGAAGACAAAGAATTCTGCGAACTCGCGGACAGCACACTGGCACGACAAGAGTGGCGACAGCACACCTCGGGGATAACGACACGGAGGACGCCTCGAAAGTGGTGCGGGAAGCGGTGCGGACGCGGCCATGCATGTACACGGTGCGAAGGGAGGCGGCAGAGAACGCAGAGAAGAGGGAGATAGTGGACCGACGGACGTACGGACACATGTGTAAGAGCGCGCACGAGTGGGTGTGCGAGCAATATCGAAAGACAGTGAGGCCGGGGTCGCACACGGCAGGGGTGGCGGGACGGTTGTGGAGCGAAGTGGCAGTAGCCAGCCTCAAGCATCGATGGGATAATAAGATGAGATTACCAGACGAGAACGGGGGGAAGGACAGGCGGGCGACATTTGACGACGTCGGGGATCACAATGTGACGACCAAAACGATCTTGGGGGCCAGGGTGAGACAACAGGTCGGGGTGCCACATGGGGAACACCACAGGCGTATTCTAGAGGGGGAAAAGAAACGGGGAATGAGGGGCCCCGCCACGAGAAGTGCGTTCTGGGGATGCAGAGCGTGCAAAGCGGCTAGGGATGAGGTCGCAAAAGAGGCGCGCGAGGCAAGGAGGAGACGCGGGGAACTGAAAGACTGGGACGACTGGAAACAAGAAGACAATGAGCCACCACAGGCGTCGTTGGCGCACATACTGAGCGGCAGCTGCGCTGGAAATAAGGAAGAGGCGCGTCACTTCATGCGGAAGCTCGACAAACACACAGCGAGGGCGACAGCAAGAGTTGAACGGGAGGCGCCGGACTCAAAAGACACCGCCACATTCCTGAGACGAGCGAGGGCAGCCTCCTTAAAGGCGAAAGGGTCTAGATTTGGGGCGCTCGCCGAAGAGGAGTACGACAAAATAGCACCCGTGATTGCCTGCACGCTACCCGCACTCACGGACTCCATACCCGAAAGAAAGAGAAGGGAGCTCGCGGGAGAGGTGACGAGTGAACTTCAGGTAGTGGGGAAGGCAGCCTCGATTGCCATACAGACATGGCTCATGGGTGCGAAACAACGACAAGACCAAGGCAAGGGCAGAGGAACGAGAGAAGAATATAGGGTGGATAAAGCGCCTGTTCACGGCATGGAGGGTGAGCCACACCGAACGTACCGAGCGAAGGGCCGAGCGGAAGGAGGACGGGGAAGATGACTCGGGGGAGGACGAACCAGTGGAAATTCAGTTGTCAGATGTCACGATGCACCCGAAGGGGACCCCAGCGCCGGCATCATCCGTAGAGGCACGAGTGTTCGAAGAGAGAGTGGACCTGAGCAACAACATGACGTGTAGGCAAATGATCGGAGTGGGAGTCAGAAATGTGGTCCTTGCGCGAGGGGAGCTTGATAGACTCGAGGGGCCAGGATACGCCGCGAGGAGGACGGAGTTGCGCAAGGCGAAAGAAGCCGCGAGAACAAGGGACCGGCAGGCGGCGGCGTCGCAGGACGAGGCAGAAGAGAACGACGCGACAGAGGAGGAAGTGACAAGGGAGAGACCGACGAGAGTGGGACGGCCGCGAGGTGGCATGAAGGTTGCAGCGAGAAGCGGCGAGAGACTGCGAAAAGAGATACGAAGAGGCAGACTCCCCAGGGTGGGCGACGGCTAGCGCACCACACTCCTCTCCTTAAAATCCCTGTGTGGTGGCGGCGTGCCGTTCTCCCATCCCTCCCTTGGGTTGTGTGTTTTCTTTCTTTCTTTCTTTGGCACGACAAGTTCCGGTTAATTAGGTTACGGACAAACTAGCTCAGTTTTCAGTTCGGTTTGGCTCGGTTCGGTTCGGTTCGGCCAGCCTTCTCCGGTCGGCTCTGGTCCGGTGTCTTGTCTTGTCCTGTCTTGTCCGGTCGAGTCCCACGACTCTGGGCCATGCGCCCGTCCAGTCACCGTTCGGCGCCGCTCGCGGGGCGGTCCTCGGTCCGGTACCCCACGGTACCCCAGTTCGGTTCGGTTCGGTTCGGTTCGGCTTGGTGCGATTCGGATCGGTCCTCTCCAGTTATCAGTTCCATTTATTAGTTAGCATTGATCCGGTAAGTCTCGAGTTATCGCTGATTCGTCGTCTCCCGTCAATTAAGTTCCGGTTAATGAGGTTACTGATCAATTAGCTCAGTTTTGAGTCTGGTTTGGCTCAGTATCCTGTCGGGTTCGGTCTCTTCCGATCCGGTGTCCGGTCCGCTCTGGTCCTGTGTCCTGTGTTTTCTCCGGTCCGGTCCGATCCCGCGACCCGCAGTCGAGTGAACCCTCACCCGTTTGCAACCTGTCTGCGCCGTTCTCGGGCTCGCTCCCTGTCTCGGTTCGAGTTCCTGTGAAGTTTGGTCCTGTCACGCCCTCTCCGGTCTTGTCGGGTGCTGTCCTCGCTTGTTGGTCTCGCGGGGGGGGGGGGGGGGTTCCCGCGGGAAGCTCTCGCGCTGTCATGTGCGTCGTCGTATACCATTCTTATCCAGCCGAACCCTGGTACTCCTGGCACCCTCTCACCGGCATGCGAGCCGAGGGGTTTAGTTTCCGGATGGTCTGCCGCTCAGCTCTTGTCCTTATCTGCCCTGTCTCTGCGCCTTGCCGCCGCGGCGCGCCGCCCTGCTGACTGTCTTGTCGTGAACTGGTGTCTCGTCTCCGCCTCTAGGAGTGCCCGAAACGGCAGGCGTCGCCGTTCCGGCACGTCCCCCGCTTGAAGAAGTGGCACTGGCGCTTGGCCCGCTGCTCGCTGTGGCCCACCTCCTGCGCCTCGCTCGGGCCCGCCTCCTGTGCGGACTTCTGGCCCCATTCAAACCCGTCATCAAACCCGTCTCCGTAAACGTCCTCCTGCATTGCCAACTGCTTCCCATGCGCGATCAGGAATCTGGTCACGACGCACGGTGTGGCGTCGATCATGTCTTGCAGCCGACGGTCGTCTGTGAGGCGGGGATAGTCGCATGCGCCGTAGGTTGAATCGTCCAGTGGCCCTTCGTCCTCACTCTCGTCTCCGTCACCGTGCCCGTCTGCCTCGCGGTCGGTCGGCGACCAGCCGAGCCACTCCCAGCCGCGGTCGACGGCCTCGCCGTCGTCCCACTCGCTGCACGAGTCGAACTCGTCCCCTGATTCGTACCCCGCGAACTTGTCTGGCGTCCAATCGTTCCACTCGTCCTGAAGCTCGTCCTGTAAGTCTTCGGCGCACGCGGCGACGGCGTACTGCAGCCTCGACCAGCGCGGGCGGTCGCCGTCGCCACGAAGCCAGTCTCGTAGCTTGCCCATGGAACGGAAACCAGAGGGCTGCAGGCCCACAAGCGGAGGAGCCAGCCGGGTCCTCGTGTCAGGAAGGCACGCGGGCGAAGGCAAATGATCGGAGTGGGAGTCAGAAATGTGGTCCTTGCGCGAGGGGAGCTTGATAGACTCGAGGGGCCAGGATACGCCGCGAGGAGGACGGAGTTGCGCAAGGCGAAAGAAGCCGCGAGAACAAGGGACCGGCAGGCGGCGGCGTCGCAGGACGAGGCAGAAGAGAACGACGCGACAGAGGAGGAAGTGACAAGGGAGAGACCGACGAGAGTGGGACGGCCGCGAGGTGGCATGAAGGTTGCAGCGAGAAGCGGCGAGAGACTGCGAAAAGAGATACGAAGAGGCAGACTCCCCAGGGTGGGCGACGGCTAGCGCACCACACTCCTCTCCTTAAAATCCCTGTGTGGTGGCGGCGTGCCGTTCTCCCATCCCTCCCTTGGGTTGTGTGTTTTCTTTCTTTCTTTGGCACGACAAGGGCGCGGACTGGCGCGGACTGGCACACACACCGGCTCACCACCGGAGCCGCCTAAGCGACTCCGTTAAGAACGGCAATGCACTCCGCACCATGCACAATGCCGCTCTGCTCCCCGCACGCTAGCTCGTTCACCGTCTGCCACGCCACGGCGGTGTGGAGGAAGAATGGCACTTTTTCGATGCTGGTAGCCCCCCAAAAACAGGCGCGCGCAGCGCGCCCAGGCGAGGGGCGCCGCAGGCGCCCCAAGCGGCGCGGAGCGCCGCCGCAGGCGGAGGACAGCAGGTGCGCGAAATTAAACGCCATCATTTTCGGTTCCGCGGTTTTGCCACTAACATTGAAATCCGGTACAAAACGACTTGAGCCTTCCTTCCTCGTCCAGCGCCACTATATGGAGCCGAAACTCCCCTCCGAGCAGCCTCTCGGCCTCTGGGCTCATGTCCAGGATGCATTTCTGGTGGCGATTCATAACTTGGAGCACTTGGAGTGCAGTCATTAACCTCACATCCAGGGCCGGGGAGCTGAGAAGCGCACCCAGCGGGCCGGATGATCGGTATCGGGTTACGGGCTAGAGAGCCCTAGCCCCGGGGGTGCGCGTTCGCAGGGAAAGGGCCGTAAAGTAAACACAGGTCTCCGAGGGTTAGCCCCGCGTACCGGGTTTCCCCTTGACTGCAGGCTGAGGGAGGGTGTAGAGGATGTAGAGTGTAGAGCGCTGTAGAGCTGTAGAGATGTAGAGCGCTCTGGAGCGCTGTAGAGCTGTAGAGCTCTACATCCGGCGCGTGACGATGTGAGTCCGATGTAGAGCGATGTAGAGCGCGATTTTGCTGTAGAGTTTGTTGTAGAGGCTCTACAGCCAAACCGCTGGGAAGGCAGTGACTCAAAGAGGTCGAGTCGCACTAATGGGGTGTCTCCGAGCTTACTGGAGCTCTGATGGACGGCCCTGACTATCTTATCACTGACACACAGACACAGAGAGTCGCTCTCTGACGGCACACAACACCCTATAACTGCGTCATGACCAGCCTGCCATGCGTCGCCGGTGCCGCATTCGTCGCTGTGCTTCTTTAGCAGGCGGTGGACTGTCGGCTGCGAGGACGGTCGCATTTGCGCGAGGCGAGGCGAGCATTGCTGCGCGTTGCATGCGCCATGACTCGCGCCAGCGCGTGCGGGAGCTCCTGGCCTGAGCGTTGAGTCCAAGCGAGTTGCGCTGGCTACGATCGCTACGCCGAGCCGAGCTGACGCGCCGAGGCGCCGGCCAGTCGCAGCCGTGAGGCATGCCACAGCAGCAGAGGCACTGCCACCCATTGGGCGGGCAGACAGAAGGCCAGGGCAGCACTGGCAAGTGCAACGCGCCTCATGTCGGAGAGCGACCGTGCCTCGTTCGCCGCCTATGATGTAGAGTTTGTTGTAGAGATTTCACGTTGTAGAGCGCCTCTACATCGCTCTACATCGGACTCACATCGTCACGCGGCGGATGTAGAGCTCTACAGCTCTACAGCGCGCTCTACAGCTCTACAGCTCTACAGCGCTCTACACTCTACATCCTCTACACCCTCCCTCAGACTGCAGGACGCCCCCTCTACTCGGAGCTAATGAACACCACCCTGCACGCCCCACACCACCACTCTACACTCACTTGCGTAGACGTTTGAGTAGACCCCCCCCCGCCTGAGGGCTCACCCCTCGCCTTCCCAGGGTCCCGACCCTCCTTGATTCGCTCTCTTGCTCGTCTCCCGAGCGTTATGCGACGACCGGTATGGTCGTTTCCCTCGCTTTCTCCGCTGCCGCCCTTCGTCTCCGCCAGCTTCTCCCGGCTCCACCGCTTCCGAAGGCGTCGACGGCCCGGCCGAGGTCTCCCCAGGCGAATGCGGCCGCAATGGATCCTCTCGCCGCGCCTCCCAGGGATAACTTACTTGGAGCACTTGTAGCTGAGCCGCTCGGGTCTTGCGGGCCTAGGGTTAGCTCACGCTGCTCCTCCCTGGCACCCTGGGTCTCTTCCCACAGGAGCAGCTGTGAAGCGGCTGCGGCAACAGCAGACAGTAGGCGCGGGTGTTTAATGTCTTTCTTCGGCTTCGGCACCCCCTCCAAGCCCCCGCCTGCGCCGTCGGCCACCCCGGGCACGCCAGCGACCCCGCCCGCTGCCGAGCGCGACTTGGGCGACCTCGCCCAGATACTCGGCGACGACGCCGCGCTGCAAGAGGCGGCGTCGGCAGTGGCGGCGCAGCCGGCGGCGATCAGCGCGAGCGTGCTCGCTGCGGAGCAACTGGCACTGGTAACGCGCCTGCAGGCGCTCTCCCACCGCCGCCTCATCCGGCAGCACGCCCGCGCTGCAGCCGCAAGCTTCGGCGGTGCGAGCAGCTCTGGCAGAGACGGTGGGCCTGAGGCCGCCCTCGATGCGTGCCACGTCCGCGGTAGGTGCGGTGGAGGAGATGGCCGGGCGGCGCGATGCGGGCCACCTCCCGCGCACAGTGGCGGCGCTGTGGCCATCGTACATGCGGCACGAGCAGAGCAACGACGAAGGCCAGGCGCCGCCTCGCGCCTCTCATCCCGCCTCACACCTCTCACCCCTGCTCACCTCCTCCCTCCTGCGCTGGCCACGCCTCGGCTGACACGCTGGACTCTCGCTCCCCATTCGCCCCTCCCCGCGCCCTCAGGAGCTCTGGCTCTCCAAGCTCTACCTGCACGCCGTCGCCGCCGCCGACCCCGCGCCGCCGCCGGCCGCCGGAGACGCCTCACCTTCCACAGGTGCATCTCCCGCCGACGGCGTCGTCGAGGAGGGCGGCGGCGGCGGCGTGGAGCGAGTGCGCGCCACCCTCGCCGGCGCAGGTCTCGCGCTCTACCCGGCCCCTCCAGTCGGCGTCATCCATCAACCAACCGACCGACAGACTCGACCGAGAGGCACGCTCTCCGCCTGCGCAGGTCTTGCGCTCAAGGCTCTCCCTCCGTCGGCGCTGCCAGGCGGCGGCCCCGCTGCGCGTCCGCTCCCCACGGCGCCTCCCTTGCACCTCCCCCGGGGATGTTTCTGCAGGCGCCGCCTCGCTGTACGTCCGCTTCTCCCTCGCCCGTGACCCGGAACGAGGCACGGCCGACCTCGAGCTCCAGCTGCAGCAGATCGCGCCGGTCAGCCGCGCCTCTCGCTGCGCTGGTCGGTCGGTAGCCAGTACACGAGTCGAGCATCAACACCAGGTGAGTCGCCTCTCGCTGCGCTGGTCCGTCGAGGACGTCGAGCTCAGGCCCGCCCCTCCCCCCCTTGGGTGCAAACGGCCACACGCCGGACATGGCCCAGACTCCTCCTGCACCTCTCCTAGGCCCCGCGACTCCGGGTCGCCGCCGTGGACGGTGCTCGACGACTCGCTCCGCGCGAAGCTCGACGAGGTGCAAGAGCTGCTCGGCTTGCCCCCACCGGTCTGGGGCCCCGCCGCCGTGCTCGGCTTGCTGCTGTCGGCATGCGCCGGCCTGCCCGGCTGCGATCCGGCAAAGTCGATCGCGGCTTCGCTGCGCGCGGCGCATCGCGAGGAGGTGCTGGCAGCCGCCTGAGAAGCGGGGAGGTGGAGTATCACGAGGGAGAGCGGAGTCTGCTGCCACTGGCGCGGCGCCCGCGGCGTCGGAGGCATGAATTGAGGTGCGGCCGGGACCGAACGCTGCATGGGGGCAGTGGGAGAGAAAGATCCGGTCGGTCCCGGCTCGTTTCAGGATACATTTCTCTCCTACGCTAGACGCGAGCGGAAGACCGCGCCCACACTGCCAATGTACGTGTCGTGTAACGTGTGGGCACGAGGAGAGACCGGGCCGCCCGCCACCGGCACCGCCAGCGGCCGCTCGCTCGCCCTCGTGCCGCTCGAGCTCGCTTTTCAGCACGGAGCTAGCTGTAGCTGCTAGCTCAACACATATCACCAACGTGAGGTCCGCCGCGCGCCCCACCTGTGAGCGTGCCGACCACACAGGACAGCAACACGGGCTTGGATTCTCACACAATCAACAAGTCAACATGAACGATGGCATCATCTCACGACACCAGTAACCTCTCAACCACTCTCCGCTCTGCGCGGCGCGCGCGAGGCCGGGTCTCGAGGCGAGGTGCGCGGGCCCGCGGCACCACTGCACTCTTCCTCGTACGGTATCTCACACATGGCATCTTGCCAGTAGAGTTCTCACCTCTCTACTCGGACGGAAAGCGCTGCATGCAGCGCAGAGAATGGCAACTCGACAAATGACGGGCATGAGCCATGACGTATGGCTGCGCGCGCACGGGAGCAACGCCATGCGGCCGCTACAAGGAAACTCATCTTCCCTCAAACGGTTGCGAACTTGCCACGTCGCGACTTCTGCGGGCTGGAGGACTGCGAGTCCACGTTCGGCAGCACGAGGGCCGGGTCGTCGTCGCCCAGCGGCTCAAAGGGGCAGCCCCAATCCTCGCGAGGGAGCGTGGCGCTTAGGCCGGTCGAATACGTCCTTGCGCGCAGCTCCGCCGCGCGCATGATCTCCATCTGGCGCGGGTGCTCGCCAAAGAATCGGACCTTGCCGGTGCCCGAGTCCATGATGGCGGCGTGCAGCTCGAGCTCGCCGGAGAGGACGCGCTCTCGCACCACCTTCGACTTGAGCAGCAGCTCCATCGAGTAGAGGCAGTTGAGCTCCGTCGCGAGCTGCGTGATGAGCAGCTCCTGCCCGGCGGAGGTGAGGGTCGAGTTCTTCTCGGCCTGCTGCACCGCGCGCAGCGCCGAGACCATCACGTGGTTGAGCACGACGCGGATCGGCGCGAGGGGCAGGTACTGGCCGCGCAGCTGCTTGATGGCCGCCTCGATGATGGGCGAGCTGCTCTCGACGAGCACGAGCAGCACTGGCGGCGCCCAGCGCGCGATCGAGTACTCGATGGAGGAGAAGGCGGTGCGCTCCTGCATGCCCGCCACCGAGCCGAGCACGCGCTGCACGATGATGCGGCCGGGGTCGACATCGAACAGATCCTCGATCGGCACGCGGTACTCTGAGCCGCCGAGCACGATCACGGACGGAGTCACATCGAGGCCGGTCGGCGACTTGTAGTGCCACCGGCCAGTGACGAAGCGCGTGTTGCCGTCCTCCATCATGCGGATCGCGTTGACCGCCCTTGCGGAGCGGCCGGACTTGTTGTCCCACGACTGGACCGTGTTGTACGGCGTCGAGTTCCACCTGCTCCAGCTTCGACAAGGCGCGCGACGAAAGTAGTGAAATTGAGCGCGGAAGACTTGAGAATCTTTGCGGCCGTGTTTTTTAACGGGGCGAGTCCCCACCGATGCCCCTCTGATATGACTACTTTGTGATCGAGAATGCCTTTCCCTTGAGAACGCACAAAACGCCTCATGGGTTTAGTATAACTGTAATGCCCCGCTCTTGAGCACTTGAGCACTGGATAGGGTCGATTCCGTATGGTACGGGACCCCTCGATCGTCTCGTCTCGCCCTCCCTCACCCTGGTGTGTTCATTGGGGGGGGTCATAACAAACACGGTACAGGATCGAGGTGCACGCTGCCAAAGCAGCCCCGCTCTTATTTTCAAAACAAAAACAACTCTCTCTCTATTCCTCTTTTGGTTTGCTTGCACAACATGTACATGTTTCATGTGCATGTATATGTATTCCCCGACGAGGAGGCTTTGCCTTTGGGGTAGAGCCGTAGGCGAAGGGTGGCAGTTGCCAGTTGCAGTTCCGAGAGAGTTCGCTGCACGCCTGCTCGCTGCACGCTGGTGCGGACGTCGTGCTGAGCTCGTGTCCCGTGTGTGCTTCTTTTTTGCTTGCTAATACTCGAACTTTTTTCTACTTATACCCATCTCACTAGTCATGGTTTTATTTCAGACGTGCGGACTGCGGTTCGCGCAACTCTGCGCTCCCCCGCGGGTTTCGGGGTGCACGCTCCGCTCGCCCCTCGCCCCCACCCCCACCCGCGACCACGCTCAGCGGCCGAACCCGAGGCGCGGCGGGGCGCGGGAGAGGGAAGGATCAGTACATTGCGGCGAGTTTGGACTCCTCGGAGGCGGCGGTGCGGAGGTGGCTGAGGTTATTACTGATCGAGTTTGCGACGTTGAGCAGGTCGGCGTGCATCTGCAGCGTCGTCTTGCCCAAGTCGTGCAGCATGTTCGCCTCAAGGGTGCCGCGGAAGCGCTGCCAGGTGCGCTCGTCGGTGCACTTGGTGCGCTGGACCGCGTACTCCTTCTCGTAGCCCAGCATCCGGTGCAGCGCCTACGGCGCACGCGTCGGGACGCGTCCCGGACGGCGTCGCCCCAGCCTCCCCTTGTTTACCGCCCCAACCTCGCTGCAGCCGGCGGAGAGGCCGTGGATGTGCGCGTACACGCCGTCCTGCACTTCGCCCGACACCCCGACGTTGCCTCCGCTCGCCAGCGGGGGCGTGTAAGTGTTTAGCCAGCTCTCCAGCTTGACGCCTGCAGGCGAGGCGGCGCGGGCGCGGGATCGGATCGAGGAGGGTCGGCGCGGGCGGGGGAAGGTGCGGCGCGGCCCACCCATCCGGAAGACCGCCATTAGCTGCTTCTGCAGGTCGGCCACAAAGCCGTCGTCGAGCGCCTCCTGGTACGAAGCGAAGGCAGAGACGCGGGCGTCGAGCGCTGCTGCCGCAGTCGCGTGGGCGATGAGATCGCCGTCGAGGATTTCCTGAGGAACGGTGGGCAGCGAGGCACGCTCGGCGACCCTTCTCGCGTGCCGTGCTCGCCCGGACGGCGGCACGCCTTTGCTTTGTTGCGCAGCAGCTCCTCCTCCGACCCCAGGAATTTGTTGAGTGACTCGATGTCAAAGGGCACGTCCTTGCCCTCGCGCCCGCGCTTGCGAGGGCGGCTCTCGCTCATCTGTGCTCTGAAGAGGGGAGTTGTTGTTGTAGGCACTCCAGACTCGCGCCTGCTGAGACAGCCAAAAAAATAACTTTGCGGTCTCTACGCCAGCCTGAATGCACGCCCTGCGAGCGGGGCGGGGTGCGCACTGTCCCTCTGTGTTCGTGTGCGTCGCCCATCTCTCCCTGGCGCTGACTGCTCGATTTATTTATACTCCTCCCTGCATCAAATTTCCCTTGTAACGTGAGAGAGCCGGAGTTTTATGGCGGAGATGTGTTTTGTTATGGCAGCGGTGGCAGGCGACAACAGCGCCGACAACATCAACAAGTGCCGCGTCCCGTGCCCCCGAGTTCATTTTATGAGAACATCAACAAGTAGGCGCGCAAGATGCGTACCGTCAAGTCCCCTGTGAGCGTGCCGATTGGGTCAACAAGAACAAGCAAGAGGCAAACGGCCTCTTTTCCTCGGATCCAGCCTTTCTCTTTTTGGCCGGCAGCTCTTGCATAGAACGCGGGGGCCAACAAGCTCAAGGCGGAGAACGCCGACGCTCAAACGCCACCCTTGATGGCCACGCTATCTGAGCCGCTCCGAGTCGTCGAGTTCTTCGCCGGCATCGGCGGGCTGCACTACGCGCTGCAGCGCAGCGGCGTGCCTCACCGCGTCGTCCAGGCGTTTGATGTCGACGACTCGGCGGTGCGCCCGCACGGCAAGAGCGAGCGAGGCGGGTCCTCTGCGAGCGTCTCACGCCGCCGCCTCTGGCGTTCGCAGGTGCGCACCTACCGGCACAACCTGCCTCGCACGCCGGTGTCCACCAAGAACATCGTCTCGCTGCAGCAGGCCGACCTGCAGCGCCTCGCGGCAGACTGCTGGCTCCTCTCCCCGCCCTGCCAGCCGCACACGCGGCAAGGGCTACAGCTGGCCGAATCAGACGGCCGTGCTGCCGCGCTCGCCCGCCTCGTCGACCTGCTCGAGGCAGCGGACCCGCCTCTGCTCCCCTCCTCCCTCCTGCTCGAGAACGTGGTTGGCTTCGAGTCGTCATCCACCCGCACCCGCCTCCGCGCAGTCCTGCTCGGGCGAGGCTACTCGGTGCGAGAGCTGTGGGCCTCGCCCGCCCAGATCGGCGTCCCCAACCAGCGGACACGCTACTTCCTCCTCGCCTCGCGGAGAAGCGTCGCACCTCTGGCCGCCGCACCTGCGGCACCGCCCGCCGCTGCACCATCCGCCGCACCCGCTGCTCCACAACCTGCCGCCGCCGCCGCCGCGCCTCCTGCCGCACCTGCCGCCGCCGCACCCGCGGAGAGCGGCGGGCAGAGCGGCGGCGCGGCCGCAGCCCTCCAGCGGCCGCCGGCGGCGCCAGTCGCGAGCTTCGCTCTCCTGGACAGCTTCACTGTCCTGGCCGCCGCCGCGCTGGACGAGGCTTGCGCGGCGGGCGAGAAGTTGCCCGCGCCGCGCGGCGAGGTGGACGCGGCCACGCAGCAGGCCTGCGAGCCTAACCCGAACCCTAACCCTAACCCTAACCACGCAGCAGGCCTGCGACCTAACCTAGCCCTAACCCTCACCCTCACCCTCACCCTCACCCTCACCCTCACCCTCACCCTCACCCTCACCCTCACCCTCACCCTAACCCTAACCCTAACCCTAACCACGCAGCAGGCCTGCGAGCCGCTCTCCTCCTACCTCCTCCCGCACTGCGGCGGCGATGGCGGGGCGGAGGGCGGGGCGGAGGCCGAGGCGATGGCGGGTGCGGCGGTGGCGGAGCACGTGCTCGAGCGGTACGGCGCGGCGATGGACCTGGTGAGCCGCGGCTCGCCCCGCTCGTGCTGCTCCACCAAGACCCACCCGCGCTCCGTCAAGGCGCCGGGCTCGCTGCTCTACGACGCGGCCGGTGCGGGGGCGCCGCCTCCGCGCGAGGGCGAGAAGAGTCTCGAGACGCTGAGGCCGCTGAGGCCGCGCTTCCGCACAGCCCGAGGTGTCGCCTTGGTTGCGAGGGGCTCCTCACGCCTCTCGCTGCGAACAGGCCGCGCTTCTTCCTGCCGCGCGAAGTGGCGAACTTGCACGGCTTCCCGCCCCACTTCGGCTTCCCGCCAGAGGTGAGCACGCGCAAGCAGTACGAGCTGCTCGGCAACTCGCTCTCGGTGCAGGTGGTCGCAACGCTGCTGCGCTACCTGCTCCTGCCTGCCGGAGACGGGATGGCGGTGGAGGAGCAGAGGAGAAGGGGTTCGGAAGCGTGACTTCTTTTCCGTGGGTTTCTTCCTCGGTCCTCGCGCTGGGAATACCGACTTTTTTTTTGCGTGTAGCTCTTACGTACATTCCCGTAGGAGACTCTGCTGACAGGGTTTGCGATGAGGAGTTTTTTGCCGCGAGAGCGGCATCTTGCAATTTCTCTCGGACTCGGTTCAGAGTCGGCCGTTGCTTTTCTCAACCGAGTGTCGCTTAGGCGGCTCCGGCTCCGGTGGTGGTGTGCCGGTGTGCTAGTAAAACAAAGAAAGAAAGAAAGAAAACAGACACGCCACAAACGAGGGATGGGACGAGGACAGGGTCCCCACCTGCACGAGCAGGATTTTGGAAGAACGATCAGGGGGACAGGTGGGGCTCTCCTGCTCCTGACAAGGGACACGACAGGCTCGCAGCGCGGTGCGCGGTGGACTCCCACATCCACTGGCGGTCTCATCTCAGTCTAGCGACCTGCCTCCAGCTTGTCGCTGGCAGTCTCTCCTACCACAGGCACACTGACACAGGGGTGGCAGGGGCGGCGGCACGAGTCTCCCACATACATAAAACAATCCAATCTTCTTTTGTTGAAAATTCTTTTTTCACAACTCTTCTCTTGCTCTGCCGGCGGCGCGGCTAGGGCAGAGGTGATGGGCAAACACCGCGAGAAAAAGCCCGCCTTCGGCAAGAAGAGCAGGACGTCGCGCGTCCCGATGGTTGCGAGCCTGCTCGCCGCTGCCGCCCTTGTCGCTGCGCTGCAGTGGCTGCTCAGCTCTTCGGCCGCCACCGACGCCGGGTCGCAGCGCCGCCGCGCCTCCTCCTCCTCACCGGCGTCGCCGTCGTCGCCGCGGGAGAGGCGAGCGGCGTCGGAGGTGTCGGCGCAGCGGCGCGGCGCGGACGCCTACTCTGGCCACGAGTGGCGGAACCTCTCTCGCTCGCTGCCGCACTGCCTCTCTTCCCAGGCCGAGCTGATGAGCATCCCGGTGCCATGGCCCGGCTTCCACGCGCTGTGCATCGAGTCGTTCGGCGACGGAGAGGTCTCTGTCCTTCTCCACGCGCGCTCGGCCCGGCACGGCGACGCGGGCGGCGCGCCGTCAGAGACGTCCGCGGGCGAGAGACGCATATATGCCGCGTCGTTGACGCGTCTGCGCCGTGTCGTCAGGCAAGCCTCCTCTCGCGGCGGGGCCGGAGGAGACGAGGGTGCTGCGGGCGGGTGTGCAGGGCGGCGGCGGCGATCTGCTCGAGCTGCTGGTCGAGGCGCTGCAGGCGGAGCTCGCCGAGGGCGAGTTTCGTCAGGTCTTTGGCAGCTGCGATGTGGAGCGGGGCAGGCGGCCTGCCGCACGCGGGCGTGTCTTGGCGATAGGTGGACCAGATGGTGTCCACGTCGGCGTACGACTTCCACCCGAACCCGTGGCGCCTCTTCACCACCAACGGCGGGCCAGTCCTCTCCGGCGCCGATTTGGGCCAGCTCGGCCCCGGCGCGGCCCTGTGGCTGTACACCGGCGGCCAGCTGCTGCGGCTGGGTGAGCTCGGGAGAGCTTCCGGCGAGTCTTCCGAGGAGGGCCCTGTAGGCGGCCAGTTCCTGTGGCCGGGCGTGCGGATCGGGCACAAGTTCAGGGTGCCGATCCCGAGGGTGGCGGAGGACGGAGAGCACTCGGAGACGAGGATGGTCGCGAGGATAGGACCTTCCGTGAAGTTTCCGAGAAGCTTCCTTGTAGGAGAGCACTCGGAGACGAAGATGGTCGAGATGACGACGGCGTCGCTGCGGCCGCCACCCCTTAGATCCTCCATGGCCACTGGCTTAGACACGCCCCAGACCGCATCGCGTCGCCCCACTTCCTCGCGTCGTATCGGCCGCCCCACCTCCTCGCGTCGCGTCGGCCGCCCCACCTCCTCGCCCTGCCCCGCCCTGCGGACCTCAGGCCGCTCGTCCTCGTCCTGTCTGGCTTCCTCTCCGATGGAGAGTGCGACTTTATCAAGTCGTACGCCGCGAGCCGGATGGTGCCGTCGGGGCTCGCAGTCATGGACGGCGCTAACCCTAACCCGAACCCTAACCCTAACCCTCGCAGTCATGGACGGCGCTAACCCTGACCCTAACCCTAACCCTGACCCTCGCAGTCATGGACGGCGCTAACCCTGACCCTAACCCTAACCCTAACCCTCGCAGTCATGGACGGCGCTAACCCTAACCCTAACCCTAACCCTAACCCTCGCAGTCATGGACGGCGCTAACCCTGACCCTAACCCTAACCCTAACCCTCGCAGTCATGGACGGCGCCACCGCGCCGACACCCCGTCGCTGCGCCGACCAGTCGCCGCTCTCACGCCGCCGCTGGCGCGCGCAGGCACGCGCGGCGACCAGTCCGACGTGCGCACCTCCACCCAGACCTTCATGCAGAGGGGAGGGTCGCCGCGCATCCGAGCGCTCGAGGAGCGGAGGCCGTCCTCCGCGGGGAGGCTCCGCCGCCCCTCGACGGCACGTGCGCGGCGTGTGCGCGCTGTAGGAGCGGGCGCACAACCTGACCCGCCTCCCGTACGACAATGGCGAAAACATCCAGGCGCGGGCCTGGCCCCGCACGCATCACCCTTCCTCTCTCCGCCACCCCTCCGCCGCCTCACCGCCGCCTCACCGCCACCCCTCCGCCGCCTCACCGCCGCCTCACCGCCGCCCCTCCGCCACCTCACCGCCGCCTCACCGCCGCCTCACCGCCGCCTCACCGCCGCCTCACCGCCGCCCCTCCGCCACCGCCACCCCTCCGCCACCCCTCCGCCACCGCCGCACCTCTTGCCAGGTGGTGCGGTACGAGAAGGGGCAAAAGTACGGCGCGCACCGCGACTTTTTCAACCCAAACGACTACCACCGGCATTTCCGTGCTCTTCTCCGGTGGGCGCCTGAACCACCTCCGACCCTTCCCCTCCTCCGTCCCATAGGCAGCCGTCCATGCTCCGCTCGGTGGAGTACGGCGCTCGCAACCGGCTCGCCACCGTCTTTTGGCGCCTCCGGCCGGGCGCCGGGAGCCGTGGAGAAGCGCCGCCTCTCTTCACCGCCTCTCGTGTCGTGTGCGCAGGTACTTGCAGTCGGTGGACGAGGGGGGGGAGACATTCTTCCCGCGCGCGCTCAACGAGGAGGGCAGGGAGT